TCCAGCTTGAAGATGTCATCGGGGACTCCGGAATTCTTCAGGCTGTTGGCTCGAGCCACAATGGCCTGTGAATAAACCATGGAGGCCCATGATTTCTGGCTTCCACCCCTGGGAGCAGCAGAGAGATGAGGGAAGGATACCGCCTCAGGAAGCCCAACAGAGGGCCAAGGGCTGTCCCTTCCTGGCCTTTGCTCACTGTCCCTCTACCTGGCAAGCTCTTCCTGGTTTCCTGATGAGATCCTATTCATACCTCAAAGCCCAGCTCAAATGTGCCCCAGGGACCAGCGCAGGATCCCCAAGGAACCTGTTCTGACCAAATAATCCCTCCTCTTCCCAATTCCAGAGGGCAAGATAAGGGGGCAGCTCTGAGACACAGTATGGACATAGGGCAAGTCTGTTTTCTATCCTCTCAGGGCTGGTATGTCAGGCTATAGAAGTGCGGAAAGTCTCAGGGGCAAAGAGGACAGGCCACAGAACAGTGCCACGACTGCAAGCACCAAGATGGCTGCTGCCATCTGTGCAGTGCCAACCACAGAGGGGCAACAGGACCACCCTGACCACCTATCTACAGGGCCAAACTCCACCCTACCCCAGTTCTACCACTGCCTGCCTCGGGCAAGTAACCTTGGACCAGTGACCTGGTTCTATGGCCTAGTGTCTTCATCTGGGAACTTGGTAAGGGTCTGGATTCTATGCAAAAACCCACGAGGAAGAGTTGGATACCAGCTCGGCTGCTATCGACTGTTATTACAGTACCTGTTGTCTAAAAACAGGTGAGTTTGGGTTTTTTACCCGCTATCCCCATGCATTACTCACCGCAGGGCATTATGGTATCCCCTCCCATTTACGAACAGGGCCCTGAGGGAATCCCTGGGTGGCTCAGCGGTTTAGCGCCTGCCTTTGGCCCAGGGCGTAATCCTGGAGTCCGGGGATCAAGTCCCACATCGGGCTCCCAGCATGGAGCCTGCTTCTCCCTCTCCCTCTCCCTCTGCCTGTGTCTCTGCCTCTCTCTCTCTCTCTCTCTCTCTCTCTCTGTCTCTCATGAATAAATAAATAAAATCTTTAAAAATAAAGGAAGACAGACAAGGGGTGTTAGTCTTGTGCATGGTCTCCTAAAGACTGAAGGTACCACTTAATTCCTCAACTTTCCATTATGTGACAAAACTGTCTTTAATTTTGTCCTATAATTGCATATTATGAATGGAATGTTAGCTCTTAATTCTGCCTGGAGTTTGCATATCTGATTCCCCATTTCACAAAAAGCCCCAGAGATCCCTCTGGCAATTTGGCAATATTCGGTATCTATCAAAATTACAAATATATCTCCTCTTTGGGCCAGCAACGCTAGCCCAGACACAGACAGAGGCAGAGGGAGAAGCAGGCTCCATGCAGGGAGCCCGATGTGGGACTCGATCCCGGGATTCCAGGATCACGCCCTGGGCCAAAGGCAGGCGCTAAACCGCTGAGCCACCCAGGGATCCCCAATAAATAAAATCTATAAAAAAAAAAAAAAAGGCACGGGGCCCTGAGTCTGAGGCAGGATGGGCAGAGATGCTGGCCCTGCCTAGGGTCTGGCCCTGCCCTCACACCCCCAAACTCAACGGCCAGTGGTAGCACTCACCCTCAGTGACGGCAGGCTGGACAGCTCCCCATGAAGCGTGGTCAGGTTGTTGTGGCTCACAGACAAGTGCTCCTGAGCAAGACAGGGGAGCAGAGGCTCAGCAGTGTGGGTAGGGTGCCTACAGGCGCCCCATCTGCCACCAAAACCTTACACCATCCAGGGGGCCCTTAGCCACACAGACCCACTCCCCCTCTTGCAGCCTCCCTCCCTCACACAGCCAGTCTTTCCTTACACACCTCCTGGGACAGGGTGCTCCCTCCCTATCTGCTAGCTCTGTTTATGGCTGTCAGCGGCTTCCTTCACGTCATTTGCCTTCTATGCAAGCTCTGCCCACCTGGCCCAGCCCCATCCACAGGAACCCTCCCCGACTGCCCAAAGCCCCTTACCAGCTTCTGCAGGGCAGCCAACTCCTCTGGCAGATAGCAGAGGCCGGTGCGGTTCAGCTTCAGCCACCGCAGACTGGTCATGGCCTTGACATTCTCAGGGAAGTAGCCACCCTGGGGGTGTGTCACAGTGAGACTGGTCTGGGCAACGGGCGCTCCTGCTCTACTACCCTCTGTGGCCCCCATACCCATGGGAGCCTTGGGAGAGCAACAGAGCCACCTCTCACCAGCTGTGCACCCCTGGGCAGGTCACTTTGCCACTCTATGCCTCAACTTCAGCAATGTAACAGGGCTTACAAAAGCCCCTCATGACAAAAATGTGAAGATGTACTAATAATCAAGGTGACTGTTGGCCTAATGTCTGTCTCTTGTTGGATTCTGAGCCCTGAGGGGGCCAGGTCGGACCTGGCTTGTTCCAGGGGACATCCCCAGGGCCCAGTGGTGTGGTTAGCTTGGCTCAAATGCCCTTGTGTGCCATTCCAGGCCCCACCTAGGCCTCCAGAGATGGGGTACCCCTGAGCCTCCACCAAGGCCCCGGCCCCGCCCCACCCAGCCATCAGCATACCAGCCATTCTTGGTGTGAGGCTCCAGTTCCCCATTCGCACAGGCATTGCCTCACTCGTGTCTTCGTGAGCCTCTGAATGCCCCCCTCAGTCCCCTTAGCCTTACAGCCGGCAGTTTGAGGCGCCTTTAGCCGGTGTCCCCGGCCCCCTACAGCCACATTCCCTGCTGGTGACTCTGGAGAGGTCGATGGAGACCCCAAGTACGGATGGCAGCGATGGGGGCAGAGGAGAGTGGTGTGGCCACCTGGGCACAGTGTCAGAAGTGTGTGTACACGTGGGGAAATGCAGAAAGGGCCTTCTTGCCCGGCCCCCACCCATGCAGACGGAGCTGGACACTACCAGGAGGCTGCCCCCCCCCATCTGCTCCCCTGCCCACCCTGCCCCCAGGCTGCCCTTCCCGGGCGGGGCCAGCTCTCACTTCCACTGCTGCCCCGCCTCCTTTGGTCACCAGCACTGCCCTGCTCCTTCCTGACCCTCTAGAACCGCCTCACCTGCCCTGTGGCCCTAGTCTACCAGTCCCGCAGCTGCTCAGGCCACCGTCAGCCGAGGCCATGCACCTGCCCCAGAGTCCCCAAAGGGGTTACTAGGCAGCCCCCGCTCCACCGGATGAGAAAACCCGGGCTCCGAGAGGGGAAGTGACTTGCCCAAGACCACACAGGATGGGGTGGCGGCGGCAGGCTCGGCCCGATGAGTGTGCTCCAGACCCGCCCCCGACCGACAGCCGGTAGCAAGGCCGCCCTGAGTCAGGGCCTGGCTGGGCGTGTGACCTCAGAGGGGCGGGGACGGAGGGCGCGGAGGGCGGGAGCAGCTCGCAGACCCCCCAGGCCAGTGTGCGGCGAGGGCGGGGCCCGGCCCCCCGGCCCCCCAGCCCCCCGGCCAGGGGCGCGCGGGGGCCCCCAGCCCACACTCCCCGCGCCGCTGCGCGCCCGGCCGCCCGCCCGGCCCCCGCCGGCCCGGGTCTTCCCGCGCGGGCCGCAGCGAGCGCGTCGGGGGGCCGTTCCGGGCGGGGCCGCGAGCACCGGGGCAGCCCCCCTTCCCTCCCGCGGTCCCGGGCGGCGCGGGGCCGGGCGCGGGCGGGACAGGAAGCGGGGAGCGGCGCGGGCCCGGGCGGAAGACAAGGCCTGGAGGGAGGCCGGCCCCGCGCCCTGACGGCCCGCTCACCTTGAAGTCGTTGCCGCTCAGGTCCACGCCGCGCACGAACGGCAGCACCCCGGTGGCCTCCATGGCGCCGCTCTCGCTGCCCGGCCGGCGGGCGCGGGGGGCGGCGGGGCGAGCCGGGGGCTGGGCCGACGCCGGCCCCGCCCCTTTAACCCGCCCCCGCCCGGCCGGGCAGCAGGCGGCGCCCGGGCCGCGGCCCCGCGCGTCACCCGGGGAACCGGGAGCGCCGGGCCTCCCCGGGCCTCGGCTTCCCCCGCCGTCCGCTGACCCGAGGGCCCTCGGAAAAAGTCCGGGCTCCCCCTGCGCTCCCGCAGGCTTCTAACCTCCACGCTGATTTCAGCGACCTATGGCGGGGGGTGTCGCAGACCCTGCAGGCCCGGGCACCGCCCCCGGGGCCGCCGCAGCCGCTGAAGTCCGGCCGTGACCTCTGCAGAGATTAGGGACCCAGGCCCGGGGGCGCACGGACCTCCCCGGGCCCTGCGTGGCCACCACTGGGCCTTGGGTCCTAGGGCTCTGGGCTACCCCCAGGTCTGCTCCTGCCTCAGTTTTCTCATTTGTGAAATGCTTCCTAAGGTTGTCGCGGAAACAAACTCAGGTGTAGGTCGCAGCATACAGCAGGCGCTCGATAAGACGCACGTTATTATTCAGGCTCTCTTTACTTCCTTGCGCCCCCACCAGCCGGCACATAATAGGTCCCCAATAAATAAACGCCGAGTGAGCCACAGGTTCTATGCACCGTCACCCTTCGCGGGGGAGGAGGGGGCCTTGTGATACCCACTTCACGGGAGAGAAGACTGAGGCCAGAATGGAGCAGTGGCCCGCACAGGGTTACACGGCGCAGGTGGCCGGGCTAGCCTCCTGGGTCACGCTGTGTGCCCGGCGCGCCAACATAAAATGATAAAGCCACACTGCGCTCTCAGAGGTGACCTCAAGGGTCAGGCAAGCGGGCCTTAGGGCCAGGTACCACCTGTTTGCCGGGCCCCGGAAACAACGCGAGCCCAGACAGTTTTGTCTACTCCGCAGCCTCCCATGAGAGCACACGCGCCTTCCCACCAGGCCCTCGGGTCCGGCTCATCCCGACCCGGGTCCCAGGCGCCACACGGCCCTGCGCCTTTAAGCCCGTGTGCGTCCGGGAGGCCCGCCCCCGAGGGACCGCGCTCGTCAGCGAGGGGGCGTGGCCTGCTCCTCACTGGCTGAGCCGCGCAGTATTTTGGAACGTGGGCGGGGCCTCGGGCGCTCCGATTGGACCCGGGGCTTGTTCGTCTGCTTGCGTCGGAGGTCAGGGGCCGCCCCCGGGGCCTCGGGGTTCGGTTCCCGGGTCCTCCGAGTTCCATTCCCAGGCGGGGCCGGGCTCAGGACCCCGATCGCACCCGCTGTGTCCTGCGGTCGCTGCGCCGAAGCCGCGACGCCCGTACGGCCGGAGTGCGGCAGGGCGGCCCGGGTCCCCCAGACCCGGGCGTGGAGCGTGCGTCGGACGCAGGTCGGGGGCGTGGTCTCCGCTGGGGCCCGGGTCACGGCCGGGGAAGGAGGGAAGGGCTTTGCTCCCCGGGCCGGAGTTCCAATGTCGCCTGCCCCTTTACGCGTTGGGCGTCTCAGTGCACTTCTCGGGGCCTGGTGCCCTCCCCGCGGATGGGCCCCTCCCAGGCCCTCCCCGGGGTTCCTGCGCGCTCGGCTCAGCCCCGGCCCCGGCCCCGGGCAGCAGGTGTGGCGGAGGAGGGGAAGGGCTGGCGGCGTCTCCCGGCGCCTGGGGTGGGGGCCGGGCCGGCCGCGCGGAGTCGAGTTATTTTTAACCACCCGCGCCTGCTCCGCGTTCCGGGAGTTGGAAGGCTGCGGTTTGCGGCCTGCGCGACCCCGCCAGGGGTTGGGCTGAGTCCTGTTCAGGCAGGAGGTATTGAAAGCTTTTTACAGTTTGCAAGTGGATTCTGGGCTCCGCTGGAGATGGCTTCCAGTATTGATCATCGAGGAGGAAACTAAAAGCGGCCGCAGGGCCTCGGTGGGTCACTCCCCTAGCCTTTGACCAGCCCGGGCCCCAGAGCCGTCCTGTCCTATTTTTACTCTGGGCAAATCGGGGGGCGGGGGTTGGGGCTGACTCCGGCGGTGATTCAGGCTTCAGCTGCTCTAGGCATCTCGTCACCTGGCAACTGAGCCCTGGGCACCCACAGCGGCTCCGAGAGGACAGAAGTCCTTGGTGCCTGGGCTGGCTGCGAACCCACGGTCATCTGGTTCAGGCATCCGCAGAAAGACAGCGCTGCCTGGTGTCTGACTGGTCCTCCGGGCCTCAGCTTGCACCCCGGCCACACGCCCCCCCCCTCTGCTCTCAGGGCCTGAGGGCAGGAATTCCCCCAGAAGAACCAGAGGTTGGAGTTTGGGGGCCTAGGCCTGGGCGGGATCTCTGTCTCCACTTCCCAAGTACCCAGGCCTACCCAGCCTTATAGTTCTGGGTTCCCCACTTGTAAACCTTCACCACGCCTGTGCCATTTTACAGGTGAACAAAGCCTCATCTTCCCTTCTCTGTTGCCTAGGTTTCCAGTCTTTGACAGCTGCTCCCCCACCCCCACTGCCCCTGCATTGTCTCAAACTTGAGAGGCCCAGAGAGGCCCCTGTCCAGAGGCACTGGGCACGTTCTCTGTTTGGGATAGGGCGTGGGGTCTTTATTTTTTACCTTCTTTTTTTTTTTTAAGATTTTATTTATTTATTCATGAGAGACACGACACAGAGAGAGAGAGACACAGGCAGAGGGAGAAGCAGGCTCCACACAGGGAGCCCGACGTGGGACTCGATCCCCGGTCTCCAGGATCACGCCCTGGACTGAAGGTGGTGCTAAACCACTGAGCTGCCCAGGGATCCCTACCTACTTATTTTAAAGATTTTATTTTTAAATAATCTACACTGAACATAGGGCAGGGACTCACATCCCCCGAGATCAAGACTCAGACGCTCCACGGATGGAGCCAGCCAGATGTCCTGTTTGGGGTCTTTGGAGTTACCCTGCTTGCTGCCCCCACAGGCAGGCCTCAGCCTTCATTGATGTGCCTCCCTGGGCAGCCTGGGCCACCTCACTCGTCCCGTCCTTTGACTTGATAGCTCTTCCTCTGGGGACTAGCTACTCTATTGAGATCTGGTGGCGGGAGACTTCTGTTGAGGTCCCCTCAAAGGCCTGAGGGGCCCTGCAGGGCAGACTGCTAGGACCCCTGGTTGTGTCTTCTTTAGGCCAGGGTTCCCTCCTGCCTATGCCCAGCCCCGATTAAGAAGCAGGACGAAGCAGCCTCTTGGAGCTGGCTGCAGGCTCCAGTAGACTGACTGGACTCAGTGGGTGGGCCAGAGTCAGGACGCTTTGCAGAATGGGTCCAGGTCCCCACCACTCACTGTGTGGTTCGGCAGCCTATTTCTCTCTAAAATGGGGATAGCGATTATGAGACTTACCCCACCGTCTTAGGTCATGTCAGGGGTCCTTGAGGATAGGATGGAGAAGATGGGCCTCCTTTTCTCACCTGGCACAAGTCTCAGGGCCTTTCTACATGAGGTCCTTGTCTAGGGAGGGGGTGGGCTATTTGCAGGTTTGCAGTGTAGTAGAGGTGGGGGTTTGGACAGCCCCATCTCCTCCCAAGAAACCGTTTCTCCTGAGAAACTCCCAGGAACTCCCTTCGTCAGCTCTACTCACGGCAGCAGCCCCAGCATGATGGGGTCGGCCCCATTGCCAGCCTGGTCGCCCCCCCCCCCCCCCCACAGAGCTGTCTACATCCTCTTACAGGCAGACAGACCATGGCCGAGTTCTCCCAGAAACGGGGGAAGCAGCGTGATGAGGTCCTGGGCAGCACCGTGGACTTCCTCCTGGCCAATGCCCGCCTGGTGCTGGGCGTGGGCGGAGCCGCCGTGCTGGGAATTGCTACCCTGGCTGTGAAGCGGGTAAGGCCAGGCTGGGCTGCTCAGAGCCAGGGCTGCCCGAGGAGGACAGTGGGGCCCCAGGGGGAGGGGGTGGGGAAGTGCCCAAGGCTGGCACCTGCTTCTCTACCCCAGCAACCTGGCTGGCATTGCCCCTGGTCTTGACCTGGCCACCCAGGCTTCAGATGCTCTAATCCATGTCACTCTGCCGGCAGCTCATTGACAGGGCCACCAGCCCTCGAGATGAGGATGACGCCAAGGGGGACACCACACGTCTGGAGGAGAGCTGGAAGGAACTGAACCTGCTCACGGCCACACCGCGTCAACAGCCCCGGCCCCCACCTGCTGCCCTCAGCCAGCCCGTGTCACCTCCTGACCCCTTGCCGGCTGCCCCAGGTGAGTGGCACCCCATCCCCTCCGACCCGGTTGGGCCCTTCTCTGGTGTCACTTTGGGAGATGCACCACAGGCTCTGCCTTTGACTGAGCCTGGAACCTAGGCAAGTCCCTGCTGCTCCTTGAGGGCCACAGCCCCCCTGCATGTTTAAGGGTTTCTCTGCCCTCCTAACCTCCTGGGTTGTGCCCCCACGACCTGGACTGAGAGAGTGGTACCAGAGCATGGCAGCAGTGTTGTGACGGTGAGGGGCCCCAGATGGGGAAACTGAGGCCCAGAGCCTGTCTTCTCAGCCTACATCAAGCTGTTTTAGGGCGTCGGGGATCTGGGGGCAGTGAGAATTTGTCATCGCTTGCTCACCTTACGTGAGAACTTGAGCTAAGCACTCTCCCAGGTGGTTATTTTACAGCTGAACAAAATAAGGCCCAGGCTGTCACACAGCTAGTAATTGGGTGGAGGTCTCTTGGCTCCTGACGGGGCCTCCTGATGTGGTCCCAACCCGTTTGTTCTGCAGAGGGGCCCACAGACACGGGTCCTGAGATGTCACTGCAGCTTAGCTCTCCGGTGCCGCTGTGCCTGACGTTCCAGGAGAAGCTGCTGGCGTTTGAGCAGACCCATGTGACCATCCCCGCGGCCCACGTGGCCCTGGCCAAGCAGCTGGCCGGTGACATTGGCCTTGAGCTGCAGGCCTATCTGCGGAACAAGTTCCCGGAGCTGCCCTTTGGGGCACTGGTGCCCGGCGGGCCGCTCTACGACGGGCTGCAGGCAGGGGCGGCTGAGCGCGTGCATATCCTGGTCCCCCTGGTGCTGGAGGCGGGCCTGTGGAGCCTGGTGCCGGGGGCGGACACCGTGGCCAGGGACCCTCGCTGCTGGGCCGTGCGCAGGACTCAGCTGGAGTTCCGGCCCCGCGGGAGCAGCCCCTGGGACCGCTTCCTGGTGGGCGGCTACCTGTCTTCCCGCGTCCTGCTAGAGCTGCTCCGCAAAGCCCTGGCCTCCTGCATCAACTGGCCAGCCATCGGCAGCCTGCTCGGGTGCCTGATCCGGCCCAGCGTGGCTGCCGAGGAGCTGCTGCTCGAGGTGCAGCACGAGCGCCTCGAGCTCACAGTCGCCGTGCTGCTGGTGGTCGCCGGCGCTGCTCCCGAAGATCCCCTCCTCCTGGCCTGGCCCCTGGAGGGGTTGGCCGGGAACCTCTGGCTGCAGGACTTGTACCCCGCGGAGGCCGCCAGGCTGCGGGTCCTGGACGAGCGTGACGCTGGGACGCGCCGGCGGCTGCTGCGGCTGCTGTGCGGGGTCTGCCGCCGCCACCCATCCCTGCAGCGGCTGGACCGGCGCCACCTGACTCAGGTGGTTCTGCGCCTGGGGGAGCACGAGGCCGACTGGGCCGAGGCGGCCTTGGGGGCGCGCTTCCTGCAGGCCCTGGAGGCGCTCGTCGACAGCTTGGAGCGGGCCAGCCTCCCCTGCCAGCTCAACCCCAGCGTGAACCTCTTCGGGAGCCTGCGGGACGAGGAGATTGACGCCCTGGGCTTCGCGCTCTTCTGCGGCCTGCAGGCCCCCGAGTGGCTGCTCTAACCGGGTGGGGACAGGGCGGCCGGCGCTCATTCGGCGGTGGGTGAGCTGGACGCGCCTCCCCTCCGGGAATCTGGAGAGCACCCTGTCTCTTGCTTTAGCCAGAATAAAAAGAGGGGGCTGCCCTGTAAGCCCCCGGGTTAGCATGTACGCGGGCAGCAGTCGCGGGAGGCGCCGGGCCCAGAGAGCTTGGTTGGGCCACCTCGGGGCAGCCTGGAGCGCCGGCCACTCCCCCGGCCCCATCTGGCCTTGGGCCAACCCTGGGACCGTGGGCTCGGTCCGTCGTCACCAGCAGTGAACGCACGGACGACACGGCTTCTGCTCTCCTAGGCGGGGGATAAAGGCAGCTCCGTTTATCTGTTGAGAGGGTGAGTTAGCGTTTTCCTCGGGTGCCAGCTCCAGGTATCTCGAGGCTTCTGGTGCTGGGTGGTAAACACTGTGTTTGTGTCGTCCCCCAGGGGCCAGAGTCACCCGGGACCCCCCTGTGCCCCGGATTGCAGCTTTGGGGCTGATCTGAAGGCTGTGTCTCCCAAGTCATGTCACCTGCGTGTCCAGCCAGCTTGTTGAGCTCTCCCCTCTAGCCTGGAGCAGAGCTCCGTCGGACGTGCTGCCCACTTCGTACCTCAGGGGAAGGCCCCATTCTCTCCAACAGGGCAGATTTTCTGTTTGGGAGGCAGAGACCCCTGGAGAACCTAAGGCTCGCAGTGCCCCCCGCTTTGCCTGGAGCCAAGGATGTGCCACCGGCTACTGCTGGGCCCGGCCTCCACCGAGCCACCACGAGCGCTCCCCCGACACTGAGGCCCGCTGCTTGGGGATGGGATTCCGCCTCCCCTCCCGGGCATCCCTCCCATCTTTGGTGTCCTTCGTGCTGAAGCAAAGCTGTGCCTCTAGGAATGTGAATAAAAGGAAAAACGAGGCTGTGTGATTTGTGCTGGGCCCTTATGCATGGCTCTTTGGAGTTCTGGAAGCTTGGCCACAGGTCTTGTGGGATCGACCAGGACGAGTTAGGGCTTAATTGGAAAAGTAGATTGTGTGGAGAGATAACATTACCAGATTCCGGTGTGATGCTTCACTTTAGTGATGGAAACCAGCTAGTCAGGGACTTTTTTCCCTGAAAAATCTAAACTCTCACGGCCCAGCTGGCTCTCTGGTGGGCATGGCTGCCCCAAGCCCATCAGCCGGCACGTCAGTACCCAGAGAAATGTCATGTCTCCTGGCCTCTTGTTGTGGCTCAAGTGGTGGATGACCCTCCCCAGACAGGGAAGCAAGAGCATCTCAGTGTCTCCACGGGAGCCATGGCTGGGGCTCATATCCTTTGTCACCACAGATGACAAGTGGGCCCTGGGGAGGGCTTTGGGCCACGAGTGCTCAGCGGTCACCACAGTTGCTTTTCCCATCCAGCTTCTCTCCTTCCCATCCCCTCGTGTTTCCTGTGGAAACCTGTGCCCTGAGCTGTGACCACAGGACCACAAGCAGCACCAATGTCCTCCCTCGTCTGAGGGCCAGCACGCAGGACACATGAGACGCACATGTGTACTTCTGGATGCAGGACCAGGAGCTGCCCCTGGGGGTCATGAGGGCTCTGCCCCAGGGGCATTCAGATGCCTGGATGGCTCCACACACAGGCTGTGCGGAGGGTCAAAGGGCAGGAGACTGGCTGAGCTGAGGTCCATTCAGATCACTTGGCCTGGGGACTGGTGCACAGAGAGCCTTGAGCAGCTGCCCTGGCGGCCGAGTGTTGGCACCGGCCTGGGCAGACAGAGGCGGGGCCTTGGCACTCTTGGCAGTAAAATGGGGGATTGTGGAATACCAACTTCTCGGCGGTTGTACGAAGTAACTGCTGGTGTGCAGTGTTAGCCCAGGGGCAGGCACGAAAGAAACCACTCCCAGAACCCAACTGTGGGCCCCGGCTGCCTCCCCCCGCTGACCAGCGTCACAAAGCTCTCTCTTCTACACTAACTGTAGAATAAATCTTATCATATAGAAAATGTTTCCTTTCTATAAACCCACTCGCTGGCCCGTCTCTGCAGGAGCACTTAGCTGTGGCATAGTCCCAAGTGGGGGTACTGCTCATTCCCTAGGGTTGGCCTGTCCAGTTCTCCCAATCTTTGCTATTACAGCAATCCTCCCTGATCTGTGGTTTCGGTTCTGCGTGGTCACTGTAGACCAGAAGCACGTGATCCTCCCAATGTATCGTGTCCACAGCAGCCTCATGCTGGGTCACAACACCCACGTCATTCACCTGACCTCATCCCGCAGCCATTGTACCGCCTCACAGCCCCACAAGAAGTGGGGGGTACAGGACAATACGGTGGTTTGAGAGGAGGAGACCACATTCACGTTAGTTTTATTACAATATATTGTTATAATTCTATTATTATTTATTGTGAATTTCTTACTGTACCTAATTTCTAAACTTTCTCCTATGTATGTAGGTACAGCAAAAGCCATAGTAAAACAGTGTATATAGCGTTTGGTACTATCTGTCGTTTTTGGCATCCACTGGGGGTCTTGGGACATATCCCCCCAAAGATAACCAGGGGGACAACTGTATTTAAACTGACAGGCCCTGAAGAAAGTCTCTGTGCACACAGGCCATGGCATAGGACATTCCTGGGAGTGGAAACCATTCAGTGTTCAGACCCGGAAGGATCCTGCCAAACTGCATTCTGGAAGAACTTTGATCACCAGCCCAGAGCCCCAGGCTGAGCCTGGCAGGCGGGCAGGAAGGGGTGATGAGCAGGTGCCTCTGGGAGGCGGGAGCCCGGGGAGCACGTCCACATCCACCCCAGCCCCACTGCCCCAGGGCTGCGGACTCCTGACCTCCTCTCCGCAGGCTTTATGGCTGGGGGTGGATGATGGAAATTGCCCACTCCGAGCTGTGCTTGCCGTCTGTGGCTCGCCACACATACCTGGAGTGCACTGCGGGAAAACTCACCTTGGTGTCAGCTGAGCCACCTGGTTGCTTCAGGGGCCGGAATCTGCCTTCAAAAGCAAGTGGCTAAAAACAAACAAACAAACAAAAGCAAGTGGCTCTGGTGTCTGAGGTGTGCAAGGAAAGCACTTCCCCTTCAGATGGCGATTTAGCCTGCCGTTCATGTGGGCGACAGGGCCCAGAAGGCGCTGGGCCTGGGGCAGGGGCGGGAGTTGCAACGGGTCCCCCCGGCAGCCTGTAGTCCCAGGCTTCTGCTCCACCTCTGTCCTGTTCCCCCTAGAATGAGGGCCTTTGCAAAAGGACACTTCTGTAATTAGAAAAATAAAGATATTAAAAAAGAAACCCCAGCAACATTACAATTTGGTTGTGTTCAATTCACTGAAGCTAAGGCTGCAGTGGACAAAGCCCAGAGTGTATTCCAAACACCAACAGGAATGGCACCGGGGATGCTGTTTTGGGTCCTTTCCGCACGGCTCCCAATTTCCTGAGACAATAGTTCATCTGGTCAGGCCTTCAGGCTGGTGGGAAGGCCAGACTCTCAGGCTTGTTGGACTGTGACCTCTCAGCCTGGAGCACCACTTCCGAGCAAGTCAGGCAGTCTCAGGCAGGGATGAGGCGCAGGCCTTGGTCCCTTGGAGGAACAGCCAAGGGTGAAGGGTGGTACCACCTGGCGTGCTAGGTGCAACTGTGCCACCCTTGTGTTCTAGTCCAGGGAACTTGGACACTATGATCCTGGAGTCTGAACAGCTGATGTTTTGGGTTGCGGCAGGCCATGGAAGGAAGGACGGCTGTGAGTTTATCACAAAGGGCAGCAGGGTTCTCCTCCCATTGGCCCAAGAGCCAGTGCCCGATGTGGTGCCGTGCTGCCGCGCACAGGAGGCCTGGCCCTCGTGGAGTGGTGGGGGTGGGGGGCTGGGAATGGGGCTTATTTGTATTTTCCAGCTGCTCCAGGTGCAGTATGCATCAGGGACAGCTTCTCTCCAACGCTGTGTGGGGCGGCCCCCCTCTTGTAGTCTTTCAGACTGGGGCAGGCAGGGGTGCGGGGCATCCCTCCCATCTTCTTGGAGGGATGGCAGGTGGCTCAGTCCCTGCCCGTGGGCTCTCACCTCAGCGTGGAGAAAGATGTGGATGCTCTCAGAGCTTCAAGGTGTAGGCACAGTGGCAGACCAATCCCTGCTTGGCTGTTTATGGGGCAAAGTGCTAATCCGTGAGGTTCGAGCTCCACCCACAGACAGAGGAGGCAGGGAGGCAGATGAGAAATGTGGTGTGTGACCTGCTTGGCCTCGCGCTCAGTAAGCTGGGGTTGTTCTCACTTGGGTCCTGGATAGCACAAGCTGCAGATGGGGGTCCAGTAGTGGGGTTCACACCTTTCTAGTCACAGGTGGGGAAAGCTCAACTTCTCGTCGCCTGAACACTGCTAGGCTGAGGCCATCAAGAGACCTGGAAAAACCCGATAGGTTCTGCTCATGAACTTCCCACTGCAGTCAGGCCTTGCTGTAACCTTCCACCAGAGAGCCTCCAGGTGAGGAACACCGCCCGGTTACAAACGGGGCTGCTCAGGCTCAGGCTTAAGGTGCGAGCCCAGGGAGGCACTGCAGGTGGGGTGAGTCAGGACCTGGGCCAGGTCTGACCTTGGTAGTCCACCCCAGCGGTTTTTGGTTTGGCACATGTAGGAGTTACTTGTGGAAAGATTAAAATACACAAATCTGCCTGAAATTCAGAATCTATTAATAACTCCTATAACTCAATAACAAAACCCAAATGAAAATTGGGCAAAAGACTTGAACAGGCATTTCTCCAAAGATACACAAGTGGCCTATAACCATGTGAAAAGATGCTTGGTGTCCATCCATGGTCATTAGGAAAATGCAAATCAAAACCACAATGAGGTAACACTTCACACCCATCAGGACAGCCAGAACAAAAGTTAAGGAAAATATGCATTGGCGATGAAGTGGAGAACCCTTGTGCTTTGTTGGCCGGGGGGTGGGGTGGGGGTGGGGTGGATCATAAAACCGGGCAGCTGCTGGGAAAAACTGATCACACACAATTACCGCGTGAGCTAGCTATGTCCCAGGTACGTACCCCAAAAAAGTGAAAATTCTTTGGGTGTTCAAATATTGTACGCTGGTGACACCACTCTCAATAGCCAAGATGTGGGAACAACTCAAATGCCCATCAACTTCTGACCGGATGGACATCATGTGGTTCATCCACATGGAGTATCACTCAGTCGCAAACAGGAATCACATATGGACACATGCTCGTGGATGAACCTTACAGACAACACCAAAGTCAAAGAAGCCAAACAGAAGATCACATGCTCTTGTGATTCCATTTATACGGAGCAAGTGTCCCAAAGCAGTAAAGTCACCAAACAGAAAGTAGACTGGTGGTTGCCGAGGGTTGGGGGGAAGGGACTAAAAGGCAGGATCATGACCCACCCCACTGTTCAGATGCTCTAAGAGCAATTGTTCCAAGTGAGGGTACCGGGCCAGGAGTCCAAGACCTGAGGACGGTTCACTTCTTCACCCACCAGCAATGCGACTCTGGGCAACTCATACCCATTTCTGCTTATCTCCTAACGAACAGAATAAAGCCATACGCTGATGTATCATTCACAGATTTTTGTAAAGAGAGGCAGGGATGTGGCCACCTCTGTGAAGTGTGGAAATATTCTGAATCTCGTATGGTCTCTCTACTCTGTTCTTGGGGCAAGCTGTTCATGGGGCTGGGCACAGCTGGGCTTGCCGCCTACCGTGTGGACAGGGAGGAAGGGCTGGGGCTGAGAGGAGAGGCCAAGAGGGCCAGAGGTTGGCGAGGTCCCTTGAGCACTGGGTGATGTCTGTGTTCGCTGCTTCCACCACTGTCCACCAGACACTGCACCACAACCACCAGAGCTGAGGGACAGAAATCTTTATTAAGGCACATGAACTGTGGGGTGTCTTGAACAGTGGCATCTAGATAAAAAAAAAATAATAATAAAGCTTCTTCGACACAATTTTAGAACAAGAGCCACATTCTTACATTACACCCTCCTTTCTCAGAATGTCCATGTGTGAAGCCCCCTCCAGGCTGCCCGGAGCTTGTGCCGAGAGTGCTGGTCCCTCAAGGGGCCTTTCCAGAAGGGAAGAAAGCCCTGGACACCACAGCATGGGATGCGCCGACCCTGCCACTAAATGCCCCACAGCACCAGGAGTGAGATGCCCCAGGCCGAGGCTCACTGTCTACCAGAGATGGTCTGGATCCTGACCCCAGAGCACAAGTGGGTCAGACTCCAAAGCCACCACTTTCCTCAAGGCCTCCAGGTCAGGGAAGGACCCCTTGCGCCTAGTGAAAACAGCTTATTCATGAGATGAGGGGTAGGTCTGAGGAAGCAGCCTTCTCTTCCCACCCCTGCCTCTCAGCTGTTCTGAGGACAGAAGGGACGGGTATGTCCAGGCTGGTGGCAAAGGCTGCATTTCCGGGGTTTCTTGGGAGTGGACCCCATGTCTGCGGAACTAGCCCGGGCTCTTTTGCTTCTGGCCTCTGGCCCCTGAGTTCTTCCTCTGCCTCTTGGCCAGGTTGGGGTTCTGAAAGTCCCTGCGGGAAGAATCAGGGGAAGGCTGAGTTCAGAACAGACACATAAAGAGGCAGGAAGTCCAGGACCAAGTGCTTGGTGGAGGGTGTACCCCTAGGCTTTGCAAAGTCACATCCACCTACAGGTCGGGCTCCCTTCCCTCCTGTCAAAACGCGGTGAGTCCCCCCCCACCTTCCATGGCCCTGACACCATTCCCTGAGAACCCCAAGCCCTTAAAGACCTCAACCCACAATCACTATCCTGATAAGGGCACTGTTGTCACTTTATGCATGTCCTTTTTCCAGAAGCAGAGATTCAGCCAACTGGCCTGGGGCTGCATGGAGAAGCAGCGAAACCCCACAGGCCCAGGACCAACAGCCTGCTCCCCATTTTCCATGCAAGTTAACTGAGCTCTGGATCCTTCTAGGCCTCAATTAGGCCTTAGTTCTGGCTGCCCTGTCAGCCAGGACAACTGATCAGCTGGCCAGGAGGTCACACTGCTTCCTTCCAACAGGAGGACAAGGGGCCCGTGCACGTCTGGAGCGTGTGCAAGGCCGGACCACCTCTCACACACTTCAAACGTGAGCCTGTCATGGCCCCCTATGGCACCGGTAGCCAGCCCTACGCCTTACCGAGCCTTCTGGGTTCGTCGTGTCCATGCAGAGCTGTCAACACGTATGCCCGAATCAGTTGGAGACTACCTAACTTTTATAAGACAGCAACCCTAGGAAAGGCAGGAGAGTGCCCATCTCACTGAGAAAACTGTGAGGCTGTGAGGCTGAGCCCTTTGGTTCCAAAGCCAGGCTTGGGACCCGACTCTGCCCAACCAGAGCTCCCACGAGGCCTCCTGGCCATTCTCCTACATGAACGCAGCTTCTGCTGTGTGTGTGGACCGTTTCCAAGTGCCTCTGGGTGCACTGTCCCCCTTGTTCTGATGTCTGGGTGGCAATTCTCACTATCCCTGGTTTCAGGACACCAGGCCCAAGCCGAGTAACCCCAGCAGATTCCCAGACATCCCCAAGCTCAGCATCTCAGGAAATGCAGCTGCTGACAAGGACCTCATGAGCATACAGAAGCTAGGGGAGCCCGGGGCTGCAGGGCCAGGCAGACCTCAGGCCGGCTGGCTGTGTGACCCCAAGCAAGGGCAGGCCGTTTACCTGGGCCTCAGCTGCCTACCGGTGCAGTTGTGAGCACAGTGCCCAGCTGATGAAGGTGAAGACAATCTACCTGGCACAGTGCCGCACACCTCCAGCTCCACTGCTGCCCTCCCTCCCTCCCTCTGTCCCCAAGGTAGACAACACCATGCAGACCTGGGCTGGGGCTCTACAGGCCCTCTGCACCACACCCAGCTCAGGAGCGGCCGCCCCGCAGCGCGCCCCACCTCACCTGGGGCCACGTTCTCGTCCACCCACTGAAAGAAGCCGCACTGCTGCTCTCTCGGCTTGGCGCACGTGTGGAACTGGCGGCCCTTGTTGGGCCCATCCTTCTGCACAGTCCGGGTGACTGCAGGCTGGCTACACAGGCAGGCCATGCCCCTGCCACCATCATCTCCGGGTCTGCCAAACCCACCCCGGTGGTCCCCCATGGCAGGTGGGTGGCCCAGCGAGCTGCCCGCAGGCCTCAGTGCAGAGGCAGGAGGCCCCCTGGGTTCCAGGGCGCTGCTATCAGCCCACAGGAAGAAGTCACAGCCACCGCCACCACACTTATAGAACTGCCGGCCCTGGTTGGGACCCTCCTTCCGCACAGTGAGCAGCACGGCCTCCTGGCCACAGTTGCAGGTCACAGAATTACTTTCCCCATCAGCGGCGGCGGGCGGGGGCAGCATCCGGGGGGCGCTGTCCATTCTGTTCTGGGACTGGCTAGCTTGCAGGTAGTAAGAAGGCTGGCTGGCTGGCTGGGAAGCTCTGGGGGGGCCCTGTGAGAACCTCAGGTCCAAGATTTCCCGCAGCGTCTCGTCACATCCGCCGATGCAGCCAACAAACTCTAGGGGCATGGTGGGGGGAAGGCTGCCGCGTTTAAACTTTAACTTCAACCTAGCGAGACCAGAAGATGAGAAAAAGCACCGAGATTAATCACCCAAACAGAAATTTCGGAAAGGTTCACATCCTGTAATCAGCAGTTCTTGGGACTCTGGAGGCTCTTGGGCCCTTTCAAGATGAGGTGAGAACTATTTTGTAACATGGCTGAGAAGTTACACAGGTCCTGCTCATGTTGTAGCAGGAGTTTGCCAGAGGCTGCAGCTCACGCAATGAGCCCCGGACTGACTGGGAGCAGACACAAAAGTCCAAGTCTCCTACTGAGTCAGACATTACACCTACAGAAATGGAAAACAATGCATTTCTTTTGTTTTCTGCTTTGCAAATATGTGCTTTCTTATTATCATTTTTGCTTTGGATAAAGATAAAAATATGCTATTACGTTACCATGCAGCGTTATCTACTGTAAAATTAACAAAGATGTTTTTTGAATGCCTTCACTTTATTTTAGAATGTGGTAAAAGTATTGACAAATTTTACCCACAATGAGAGCTCTCTAGGTTCCTTCCTCAATGATTTTTAAGAGTGTAAGGGGGCCTATGACCAGTTCTACACAAGGGCTCTGAACTTTTGGCAGGAGCTTGGAAACGATACCTGACACACCCGTGCAGATTCACTTCCTCATACTCTACTGGGCAGCAATCTAGCTGGAAAGGGCAGGGAAAGGGTGCCTCCTGGCTCTTCAGATGCACAGAGGGCTCCTCCCAAGAGCCCAGGACCCTGCCCTAGGGCAGGCTTCCACACCACAAAGGCAGGAACAGGCCACAAACCAACTTAGGACTGCCGACCCAGCTGCTGCCCAGCGCAGGGAAGGCCCCTGAGCCTTGCGGGGCCCCGCTCACCTGTAAACGGGGTGAGGCTGACAAACCGGACACACACTGTCATCCCTGCTGGCCTCCAGCACAGAGTCAGGGAACCACACGGCTGAGCGACATTCCGGGAAGCCCGTGCAGCTGAGGTAGAACCTGGGGAGCACAGGGAGCAGGGTTGGGCAGGGGCCACCGGACCGCAGGGAACATACATTCCTGGGCAGCTGCCTGTCTGGCAAGGACACTACTCTGGCTGATTCATGACAGAGAAACTGGCCTGCTTTTATTCCCCATCTCCCTAAACAAAAGAAACTGCTATTGCTGACTCTGCTTCCTACTTGGAAACAACCAGCCCACCGACCATCACCTGGGCCATGGAAGGCCCAGTCCCAAGGGCTCTGCTCAGGCTCCAGGCCGACACTGCCTGACTTCCCCACATGACAAGTCCGATGGGGACCAGCAGCACCCTCAGTTCAGAGTGGGACAAACGGGTGGGGGGTGCAGCCAGGAAACCTGCCCAAGGATGCACGTGTGGGGAGCTGCAAATAGAACTTGATCTGTTTGATGATGAAAGCATCTTTATTCCTGACACCTGCACCGCACCGTTCTCGGCCAACACATCCTTATGCTTCCAGTTCACGAAACTCTAGGGCTGGAGTAGCCAATGTGAATACGATGCATCCTTTGAGTGTGCCTGGGTAGGACTAGGCCAGGGGAAAAACCTACCAACCAAACCCCAAACCCCACTTATTCAAATGGCAAATCCACGAAATGAGAAATGTAAACTGTCAAATGAGCCCTGGAGTGGTGAATTCCACAGGACACTCACTAGGCCCTCCCAGGTGACCCAAGTGCTTGGAGAGCCTGAGTTAACAGCATGGCGCTGCCTGGCACTTACATGCGGCCATCCCGCACCGCACTCAGCACACCCTGACGCTGGCTTCTGTGTTTCTAGGCAACCCAAGCCTTGCTCCCAGCTCAGGTCCAAGGTAACCTCGGGTTTCTGAGAGCCAGGCTGGCCTTCTCTCGGCCCGGGCCAGTGACAGATCAGTAGTTGGGGAAACCACCTGCTCACGTAGCAGCACAGTAGTGATACAGATGCACCCCGAGGGGAGTTGAAAAAATAATGGACCAGGATGACCTGGGATCATATTCTGCCTTTCTTGTCTGCCCCCCACCCCCTACTCCCAGCTGCCTGCTGGGGACAAGATGCCTCAGCCTTCCCTCCGGAGAAAACCAGGGTGAAAATGCTGCTCTGCAGCATGGTTATGGAGTCGAGAATATCTGTGGAGAACTATGCGCCAAGCCAGGCACAGGGATGGCATGTGATAAATGACAGCTGTCACCTCTGTTCCCCACTGCTGCCATGAACCCTCCCCAGAGGCCAGGGGCTAGCCCAGGTAGTGTCGGGATACACAGCCCACCCTGCACTGAGGTGCTGAGGAGGAGGAGGGACTTGGCATGCTCAGGTCCAGTCCAGAGCCAAAATTAGAAGCAGCAAAGCAGTGTCGGTGAGTATCTCTGACACATCAGGCTCTAGACTGGACTTCAAGCCCATTTCACCAAATCCTCACCCTTCCCACAGTAGATACCATGGCCCTAAGCTTACAGAAAAGAAAACTGGAGCTCAGCAGCTAAGTAACCTGCTTTGGGGCACAAAACTTGGGTGTGTGGCAGAGGTGGGATTTGAACTCAGACCCAACTGGATCCTCAGCTCAAGCTTTCCCACCATTGTCCACACAGTGGGTAGGCAATATCCTATGCACAAGGTACCTGGTGGAGCCACTATCCCACATTTCCTCTGAATCCCAGAGCACTTCACACCTCCAAGGACAGATCCCTGTCAGCTACCCTTCAATACCTAGTCCGGGGGCAGGAATGGCAGGCCTACCTTTACATAACGACACAAAAAAGCAATGATGGGGCCTTGCAAAGAGTGTCCAGCCAACCCAGCAAGTGCTGGGTAAGCAGATGTATGCCATGAGTTGGGCACTGACCCGCCATTCTTCTTTGTCTTGAGGACCATATCCTTGTTGCACTGCGGACACTTCTTGATGGGCTCTGGCATGCTCGGGTAGATGGCTTCTTGCTGGGCCTGGGCCACCTCTGTCCCTTCCCCAAAGTACTGGGATAAGGCCTCGTCCAATCTGAAGGAAGAGCAAAACAATCACAATAGTCTTTTTTTTTTTAAAAAAAGATTTTATTTGAGAGAGAGAACGAGAACACGTGTGCACATGAGCATGAGAAGAGGGAGAAGCTGAGTCCCCACCGAGCAGGGAGCCAGACACAGGGCTTGATCCCAGGACCTGAGATCATGAGCTGAGCCAAAGGCAGATGTTTATTTGAACCACCCAGGCGCCCCTATGATATTCTCATGTGCACACAATATGAGTGTAATCAGGGACACCAGCTGGCTGCTCAGTACAGGCTTGATGCAGAGAACAGAGGCAGACAGAGCTGTGTCTGGCTCCTGGTGCTCCCAGGGCAGATCCAGCTACAGGTATGTACTTCCACATGTTACTGGCCTCACATTAAAAAAAACCAACCAACCAACCAACCAACCAAACAACTGCACAGGGCCTGTAAGCATTCCAGAAGTGTCTGCTTGTCTGGGTTTACGTTTAAACTAGCTCAACTGCGGGATGCCTGGGTGGCTTAGCGATTGAGTGCCTGCCTTCAGCCCAGGGCATGATCCTGGAAACCTGGAATTGAGTCCCACATCAGGTTTTCTGCATGGAGCCTGCTTCTCCTTCTGCCTATGTCTCTGCCTCTCTCTCTCTGTCTCTCGTGAATAAATAAAACCTTAAGAAAAAAAATTAGTTCAATCATTTCCCTCTTTTTAAATATTTTGTTTTTGGGGTGCCTGGGTGGCTCAGCTGGTTGAGTGTCCCACCCTTGATTTCAGCTCAGGTCATGATCTAGGGTTGTAAGACTGAGCCTCTGGTCAGTCTCTGCACTCAGTGTGGAGTCTGCTCGAGATTCTCTTTCTCTCCCCCTTTCCCCCATCCCTCCCCCAACTTGCGTGTGTGGTCACACGCACTCTTGCTGTGTAAAAATAAATAAAACCTTAAAAGATTTTTTTTTAATTTTTTTTTTTATGATAGTCATACAGAGAGAGGGGGCGGGCAGAGACACAGGCAGAGGGAGAAGCAGGCTCAATGCACCGGGAGCCTGACGTGGGATTCGATCCCGGGTCTCCAGGATCGCGCCCTGGGCCAAAGGCAGGCGCCAAACCGCTGCGCCACCCAGGGATCCCCATAAAACCTTAAAAGATTTTAAGTAAGCTCTACACCCAACATAGGCCTTGAACTCAACCCTGAGATCTAGAGTTGTGCTCTCTACCAACTAAGCCAGCCAGGCACCCCAGTTCATTCATTTCTCTTCCAAGTTGGTACAGGGTAGAAAATGCCTATTTTCCTAGCAACATGCACACATACTGCTTGCTACATGGTCAGCTCCAAATAGAGAACAAACGTGTCACACCGCAGCACTGAGTTTATGGACACGAGATCATGTTGCTGTTAACTCAAGACAGAATTAAACTCCAGAGAATGACATCTCTAAAGCCTAGAATAACTAAAGCAGATTTTTCTAGTTACTGTTACTTTTTTTCTTTTTTTAAAGATTTTTATTTATTTATTCATGAAAGACACAGAGAGAAAAAGGCAGAGACACAGGCAGAGGGAGAAGCAGCAGGGAGCCTGACATGGGACTTGATCCCAGGTCTCCAGGATTACACCCTGGGCTGAAGGTGGCACTAAACCGGTGAGCCACTCAGGTTGCTAGTTACTATTTCTATGCTGAGGAAGCTCTACGGGAAGGAATAGAACTCAGGAGGAAGACCCGAAGGGGGAGGAGCTGCATGTGGACTGCCCTGCCAGGCACAACACCATTGGTGAAGCAGCAGCCTGGGGGACATTTAACCATCTGCAGGGCACACATTGCGAGGAGCAATGGTTCTGTTAAATCACCCCCATCCCCTCCCATAGATCAGGGAAAGGTTACAGCCCAGAAGACCGAGTCAAATGAACTCATGTGCAGGCAAGAAGGGTCTGGACTTACTTCTTTGCTTTGGCCACAGCTTCAATGAAAACCTGCTTGTATTTCTGGACTTGCTGCCTTAGAACCACTGACTTGTCCTTCTTGCCTTCACAGATCAGCTTCAGATCAGCTTCTAGCTCGGCCCGGAGGTCAGGCTTGGACATCTCATAGCCCATGGAGTCATAGCCTGTGGGGAAGAGAGCAGCGTTCTGCATGGCCCCAGGCAGCACCCCTGGAAAAGGGGCTTTAGCTGCACAGCTCTGCAACCACCCCCTGCAAGCTCCCCCTGCTTACCTTCCACAAGCCCCATGCCCAGATGTCCAGGGAGAAACCGTTTGTCTGCGGTGAGCCCGACATACATCCGGGCTTTGATTGTCTCGATGTGCTCCGCATGAGTGGCGTCAGTACCTGAAAGCCACTTCCAGTTACTCAGGGAAATGTAGACATTCCCCACTATGTTCCACAGGCACCTTCCTCTGCCTGAACTTTTTTTTTTAAAGATTTTATTTGGGGCAGCCCGGGTGGCATAGTGGTTTAGCGCCACCTTCAGCCCAGGGCCTGATCCAGGAGATCCGGGATCGAGTCCCACGTCAGGCTCCCTGCACGGAGCCTGCTTCTCCCTCTGCCTGTGTCTCTGCCTCTCTCTGTGTGTCTCTCATGAATAAATAAATAGAATATTTTTTTAAAAAAAGATTTTGGGGATCCCTGGGTGGCGCAGCGGGTTGGCGCCTGCCTTTGGCCCAGGGCGCGATCCTGGAGACCCGGGATTGAATCCCACGTCGGGCTCCCGGTGCATGGAGCCTGCTTCTCCCTCTGCCTATGTCTCTGCCTCTCTCTCTTTCTCTCTCTGTGACTATAATAAATAAATAAAAATTAAAAAAAAATATTAAAAAAAAATTTTATCAGAGAGAGAGAGAGAGAGAGAGAGCAAGTGAGCGCACACAAGCAGGGAGAACTGCCTCTGTCTGGACTTCTAATTCTCTAATAATCTTCATTTGCATTGGGCCCACACAGAAACAGTACCTCTCCCTCACATCCACTTACTCCCCAAAGCTGTCAATGCCGGCTTTGAAACTCCTCTAAGTCCTTCTCTGTTCCACATGACAGAGCCACGGCTGGAGCCCATATCAAGTCATCTGCATCAGTACAACACGCTCAGTCTCCCCTCTCTGTTAGCTTCCTCCACCCACCCATTTCTTCTGCTGTGGCCAAAAGGATCTTTGAAAATGGAGCTCTGCCATCAAGGAGATGCAAATCGAAACTGCAAAGAATTACCACTTCACACCCACTCGGTAGGGAGCATAACCAAAAAGCATAGAGAACAAATGCTGGTGAGAATGTGGAGAAACCTCAACTTTCGCACATTGCTGGAGGAGCATAAAATGGTATAGCAGCCATGGAAATCGGTCCAGAAGTTCCTCAAAAGGTCAACAGACAGTACCACTGGACCCGGCAATTCTAATCCTGGTTATCTCCCCAAGAGAATCGCAAACCCATCCACACACAAACCTGCACCCAAATTCTGCGCTGCAACACTATTCATAGTCACCCCAAAACGGAAACGACCCAAAAGTCCATCAAGTGGTGAATGGATAAACAAAATGTGGTCTCTGCACACAACAGAAGGCATGGAAAGGCAGGAAGAACTGACTCGTGCTACAACGTGGATGAGCCTTGGGAGCACGTGAAGTGAAAGAAGTCAGTTACAAGAGGTCACGTGCTTCATCATTCTACAGGTACAAAAGGTGTGAAACAGACAAATCTGCCGAGCCAGAAAGATTAGTGGTTGCCCAGGGCTGAAAGGATGGAAGGGAAGGGGGTATGGAGTTTCTTTCTGAGATGATGAAAATGTTCTAAAATTAAGGTGATTGTTGCACAATTTTGTGAATATACTGAACACTGAATTGTACACGTTCAGTCAGTGAATTATATGCTATGTGAATCATGTCTCAGTAAAGCTGGTGACATTCTGAAGAAACAGAATGCCTAGGCTTTATTCCTGTGTCCCCAGTACCTAGACCAAGGTCTAACTCTTGTGAGCCTCACATTTTTAATGAGTAAATCCTGATGGGTAAACTTTAATTCTACCTAAACCTACATGCTTTCTGGATAGCACAACGACGGCCAGCGGACTCCAGGGGGGACACTTCTTTCCAAGTCACAGAACTACAAAAGCCTCTGGTAGTAAGGCAGCTGTGGCCCAGGGGAACAGTTGGCTTCCAGAGTGCCACCTCCTTCTCCATCAGGCCGCTGCCCTTCTGAGCTAGATTTGCCAGAGAACATCCTCAGAACTGTGATAAACACAGACAAGGGGGTGGCAGATCAGACACAGGGGTCCTCCTTGCAAACCTGGGGTCATGGGACCTATTGGGAAAAACAGTCTGGCCCGGTTTTTTTCCAACCTCAGCTTGGTTCCTAAATGATTACGGGAAATGCTTAAACAAAAACTCAGAGCACAGCCACTTGTGGCTAAGGGCAGGGTGGCAAATGCAAACTCCACAGGGGCCTGGCAGGGAGTGAACGCAGAGCAAAGCCAAGTGTGAACAATGGAGAAGAGACAGCTGCCACCCCAATTCAACCAACTATTCCCACTGGGAAGCAAAGGCTTGGCCTGCCAGATCTCCTGGCACTTTGCAGGATGAACACACAGATGTTTATGTGGAATCTCTCAAGTTTTAAATGTGGATACTGTATTCAAAATAAAAACAAACCCCTGTGTAGGCCTCAAATCCTGAGTCCACGGACAGGACCTGGCCAGGGTGCTCCCAGTCTAGACCCTCGAGTTCTGGGACACATTGATATCCTGATTCGGCTGGTGGAGAGCAGAGGTTAAGAGCCTAAGTGTGGACTTTATTCAGACCGAGGTTTTAATAATTCGCACATTGGGGCACTTGGGTGGCTCAGTGGGGTTGAGTGTCCAGACTCTTGATTTTGGCTTGGGTCAGGATTTCAGGGCCCTGAGACAGAACCCTGCATCTGGCTCTGCACTGAGTGGAGTCTGCTTGGGATTCTCTCTCTCTGGCTCCTGTCCCCCACCATGTTTGCTCTAAAATAAATAAAATGAATCTTAAAAAAAAAAAGCAAAAACTTGCACACATCACAGCCTTAGGCAAGTTCTCAACTTCTCTAAGCCTCACTTTAGCTATAAAGAAGTCAAGAATAGGACACTCATGGGAGAGCGGTTGTGAAGACCAGAAGAGGTATGGTGCCTAACACACATGGGGTACGCAAGAAATGCTGGTTACCGCGACCACAAGCTACTGACCAATGCCGTGCTTCTCCATGAGGGCAATGAGGTCAGCTTCAGTGAGCAGCTGGGGTGGGCTGGTCTCTCCGTCCACCATCTCCACAGTGCTGGGCTGAAAGTGGGAGCCTCTCTCATAGACAGGGAGGGTCTACAGGGAGCAGTAGAAGCATCAGTCCGATCACTCGGCGAGGCAATGAGGCAAAAGACAACTGCCATTTCAAAAACCATCGCCCTGATCCATCAGACCGCACTGAGGGTGAGGAACACGACTGTCTTCCCCTCTCCCTGAGGCCCATGGGGTGAGACATGACCTCTGACCAGGCCTACACTTTATTACCTTGTCACTCCAGCGGTCGTATGGGTACACATCCAGATAGTTTCGGGCCAAAATCATGAGGCCGTGGGCCACAAAGCGTTCCTGAGCGATGTCAATCTCCACGGTGGTCTCCTGCCCCTGGGCATCCTGGGAGCAGCAAGCCAGGAAATGCCGCACGATGAACTCATACAGCCGCTGCTCATCTCCCTAGGAAGACGAGAGAAGAGTCTGCCAACTCCCTCCAGAATATTACTGTCCAAGGCCCACACACTCACTGATAGTCTGGCTGCTTTGGGCCACCTTGTAGTCTCAGATTCTGCGCAGAAGAGGACACATGGCTCCTGTAGCCCCTGCACCAGCATGGAGCGCTGCGCCAACCTGCCATGCACTGTGGGTTTAGGTATTACCTTATTCAGGCAAAGAGAAGCAAGGCAGGCATCTTGCCCTCCAGACCGAGAAGCAATTCTTATGCCATAGACCCAACCGAGGGAAAAGGTGAGACAAAAGCATAACAAGCTAACAAGAGACCCCTTGTATATAAGACACAGTAAGGTTGTAGCCAGCAGCCCAGGCTCACGGGGTTTGTGGTGATTTTCTACCAGTGAAGTAATCAAGGACCTCGTGAGGCTCTGTCAGAAGCCCCTAAGACACTCACACTCATAGCCAGTAATTCTCCTCCTGAACGTATCCAAAGAACTAAGGAGAGGCCCACACAAATATTGACACAAATGTTAACTGTTATTGTGTGTCAAAAAGTTGGAAGCAACTTAAATCTTAAAAAAACAGATTTGGCAAAATAAAATTATGGTTCATCTATATAATCCTTAAGTGTTGTACTTGAAAATATTTTAGCATATGGGGAGCTGACAAATGTTTCTTCCTTCTAATCTTTTGAATTTTCTAAATTGTCTAAAATGAATACATTTAAAGTCAGAGAAGAACAGGGCAGGCTGGGTGGCTCAGCGGTTTAGCGCCGCCTTCAGCCCAGGGTGTGATCCTGGAGACCTGGGATTGGGATCAAGTCCCACGTCAGGCTCCCTGCATGGAGCCTGCTTCTCCCTCTGCCTGTGTCTCTGCCTCTCTCTGTGTTGTCTCTCATGAGATGATGATAGATAGATAGATAGATAGATAGATAGATAGATAGATAGATAGATAGATAGAAAGAAATAAGTAAATAAATAAAATCAGAGAAGAACAGTATGTATTAATAAAAAAAGAAAACAAAGACCAAATGGGACTTAGCTTTGCCATAAGCCTGCATTTGTCAAACGAGCCCAAGTAGCCCAGCATTACCAAGCACAGGTGAAACACCTGAGTATTCAGGGCTGCCTCAAAGCCCTGCCACCACTGGACCTCAACAGGAGGCCAGCATCTGAGTGTCACAGCATCAGGACAGGAATGGAAACTGGTCCAGTCCAGGGGAGGAGGGGCAGGAGGGGATTTCTCCAGTTAAGGAGGGGCTGAGGAAACCAAGTGGTTCTTTAGGGGCAACATATGAGCTGTGCAAGGGCATAGGGAAGGGGAATGGTCTAGCCTGCACGCCGAGGGTCTGACAGAGTGGGGAAGGGGAGCTGGACAAAGTAGAGCCTGCCCTGCAGGGTGGCAGCTCACAGAGGCCAAGCAGAACCATAAAGCAGGAGAATTTTGACACTGACATCTCTTTGCTAAAATGGAATAGCTCTTTCGAAATCACTTAGTTCCTAAAGCAAGAGCCCGCAGAGTAAATTCAAGTGCTAACTGATTTCTCACTTCCTCCCGGGTTCCAGGAGGCAGGGAAACCTACCTGCAAGCTGCTGGTGTATTTGGTGGGGTGGATGGGAGGGTGAGCCTGGTCAGACTTGTTCCCATTGCGTGGAGTGGGGCCACCCCGCTCTAGAATGCTCTGGGCAAAGGCCCCCCAGCGTGGATCCCGGGTCTGCTGCTCCACCAGCACTGTTAGGTCTAAGTCTTTGGGGAAAATGTTTGTTTCAGTTCGAGGATAGCTGATGTACCTGAAAGCAAAGGCAAACACACAGGAAAAGAAAATTGTGATAATGGCACTAGAAACAACTGAGTTAGACTAGAAATACCCAGACATTTGCCATGCCCCATCTGCCTTGGCTGGCTCAACTGAAGCACCCTAGCTTTCCTCTGCTGAGAAGAATCCTCACGTGGGACCCCCCAACAGGGTGAGAAACAGCAGGCTGGCTGGATGAAACACTCCAAGAAGCCAGAGGATAAGTGAAAGGGACTGACAGGGTGGGACTCACTACTGCTCAGCCTGCCAGCAGCTGTGTGGCCCAGAACACAGTCGGTCTGCCAGGGACCCCTGTGGCCCTGAGAGCTGCAACAGAGCAGGCTTCTGAATTTGCTTCCAGCACAGGAAGAATCATGCTGCCTAATAAACCAAAATGTGGACCCTACAAGTAATTTAACATTTTTTATTAGGATGACCCAAATTTTAAGCGCTCAATGGTCACCTGTAGCACGTGGCTGCCACAAGGTTAGCGTGGACCACACTGTCACTGGATGGCCCTGGGGTGTTCACAATCCCGGAGGTGGGATGATTTATGCCGGCAAACGACTACCAAAGGTCATTGCATGCCCCCTGCCAGGGCCATGGAGGCAGCTGTTGAGAGGTCAACAGTTGCACGTGTTTTCATTCTACGGGCTCTTATTTTAGGAAATGATTTTGAAATGTCTTTTCCATATCAGAAAAGCCAATGTTAAAATTCTTCTACTTCAGAGCTCAGGTGATATCTAGACAGTTTGGATTATCCCATAAGCTCTAAAATGGTTTACCCTGGGGTGCCCGGCTGGCTCAGTGGGTAGAAAATGAGACTCTTGACCTCAGGGTTGTGAGTTCGAGTCCCATGTTGGGTGCAGAAATTCCTTAAAAATAAAATCCTTTAAGAAAATCAAATGGGGCACCTGGGTTAAGTGGTCCGACTCTTGGTCGGTTAAGTGTCCGACTCTTGATTTTGGCAAAAATCATAGTTGCAGGGTGGAGAGATGCAGCCCTGTGTTGGGCTCCATCGTGGGCATGGAGTCTACTTAAGATTTTCTCTCTCCCTCTCTCCCCCTCTCTAAAAACAAATAAATAAAATGAAATAAAATATTTCACCCTTATAAAGATGTACTGAATTCCATTCCCAAATGTGGAATATTTACCCTTGAGTGTAGAGCTTTTCGGCAATCCTCATGGTTTCTTTAGCATTTATTCTCAACTTCCGAGAAGCCAGCTTCTCAAGCTCCTGTTAAATGTGTCATAGGCAAATTAGGGTGCAGTGCAGGAGTCAGACGGCACAACACAGCCACACAACTCATCTTCACAAACATGGGGCCTGTCACTCCAGCTACTATCACACAGGGAAAAAGACTGTGCTGAGGAGAGCTTTCTGGGCCTGCCAGGCAGGGGCAGGAGCAGGGCCAGATCCCAACTTGGTGCTTCTCAGACACTGATGTGCAAACCAAGAATCACCAGGGAAGCCAACAGATTCCCCTGAGCACTGCAGATTCTGACAGAGGAGGGCTGGGAGAGAAGCCAGAAATCTGCATTTTGTAACAAGCAAGTTAATACACAGATTCTAATACAGGCAGTCTGGAAACCACACTGTGGGAACACCACTGAGTCCCTAGTAACTTCTCCTGGATGATGAACACCAGTGTTCAAGAACTCCTGGGAGATAATCGGCTGTCTTTCCCCTTGGTCACATTCCATTGGCACTGCTGGCTATACGTCAAAGCATATTCAACCACCGTTAAGCCTTTTACAGGAAATCAGTCCATAACTCTCCCCTTGTCATTGCTACCACACACACCACACAGACCAAGCCACACTCAAGACAAAAAATATATGGGCAGCCCCAATGGCTCAGCGGTTTAGTGCCGCCTTCGGCCCGGGGCATGATCCTGGAGACCCGGGATCAAATCCCACGTCGGGCTCCTTGCGTGAAGCCTGCCTCTCCCTCTGCCTGTATCTCTGCCTCTCTCTCTCTCCCCCTGTGTCTCTAATAAATACAATCTTAAAAATACACACACACACACACACACACACACACACACACACACATATACACGTCACCCACCAGTCCCTGCATGTTTCTTAGCCTGCTTGTTCATTCTCTATGTTCAATCTCCAGACTGAATCCCGACAGTAACTACAGCCTGAATTTTCCTGCAAAGTGGTGATTAGAAAGGGGCACCTCTAAGGCAGTTAACTCCCAGCTGTGTCCAACGGGGGTGGCTCTTCCTGGGTCTAAACATTTGAGAAGTCCTGTTCCCTTTAAAATAGGCTCTTAATGCAGATTTTAAAAAATGATGTTTATATAGATGATACAGAAACATTAGAAAATTTAAAAAAAGCTTGGGTGGAAAAAAGCTATTCCAACAATAATATAAAACACACATATATTAAAAAATAGGAGGGCAGCCCCGGTGGCTTAGCGGTTTAGCACCGCCTTCAGCACAGGGTGTGATCCTGGAGACCCGGGATCGAGTCCCACGTCAGGCTCCCAGCATGGAGCCTGCTTCTCTCTTTCTCTCTATCTCTAATAAATAAATAATATTAAAAAAAAATAGGAAGACACTCCGATTATATCAGAGATTACGTAAGGATAGCAAGGTGAGGGGTGATTCCTCTTTTGTTTCCCAAATCCCACACAAAGCAGCTCTATTGCATTTATTAACTTTAAAAAAGAAAAAAGAAAAAAAAAAAGTATTAGAAGACTAAGCAGGCTAAGCAGGTCCACCCTGTTTTGGGGTTTCTCTTCTTCCCAAGCACCTTCCTGCATGGCCCCGTGAAAGGTGACGCTTCCTGCCACTGGGCCACTGTCTGCCGCAGAAGTATGGTCCCAAAGGCAGGAAGTCAGAGCTGGCGCACTCATCTGGAACATACCACAGTGTCCAAAGCTTGAGGCCTCCATTTGCTCTTTGACTTAGACCTGACCTCCACCACAGTTGCCGTGGGATCCTAGGAAGCCAGAAAAAGCAGAGGCCATATTAATCTGTTGGTGCATCTTCTCCATCTTTCCTGCGGCAGCTTCTGCTCACCATTCTGGAGCAGCAAATGCCCCTGCTCCAACCATGACATGACCTCAAGTAAAGTCAGCTCGTAGCGCCCACAGTGTAGTGGAGACATCACCACCTCCCCACTCAAACCAAGGCTTTGAGGGGTGACTTCATAAACCCTAACAACAGCCTGTGCAGCTCCTAAGAACTGTTTCCTATCTACACATGCACAGTATTACTTTTTTAAAAATTCTGGGTAATGCCAAGTTAGAAATAGGAAAAATTACACACTATAAGCTAGAGAACTCAATTTTAAGATCGACTTCACACACTTTTTTTTTTTTTTTTGGAGAGAGAATGGGGTGGGCAGAGGGCAAGAATCTTAAGCATATTCCATGCTCAGTGTGGACCTTGATGCAGGACTCACTCTCACCACCCTGAGATCATGACCTGAGCCGAAAGCAAGAGTCAGATGCTTAACTGACTGAGCCACCCAGGCGCTCTACCGAACTTCACACTTAAGAGACTATATAAACAGACAAAGAACTCAGCCTAATGGATTTGTTAATGAGGAAATTTGTATTTCAAAATCCAAATTTCTCTCTGCAAATAGAGTGGACTCCAGGTGCTCTTTACAAGGAGCTCAGTGTATCTAGCTTGCTAGGTTTTCCTGCACCACATTCTGGTAAAGTAGAAAAAGCAGAGCTCTCTCTTATGAAACCAATAAATGTGCAGTGTCACAGACCTGCCAAGTGGTTGCGTGACCTCCAGGGTCAAAGGGTGGAGCAGTGATATCCTGACTTGCAAGCTGAAAGTTACTGTTCAGCAGGAAAATGGAACAGGATCACCTCTGCTAAAAGGAGTGGCTTAGAAACTTGCAGAACAGTTTTCCTAGTTCATTAAAATTGAAATCTTTCCTACCTCCATGCACAGCTGATAGAGGACAAGACAAGCTGTGTGGTTAAAGAGACGATGCCTTTTCCAGTTGAATTCTACGATGCCATCTTTGTGGTCATGAGTTACTACGGGGGAACAAACGGGAAGGCCATGACTCACAGAAGCCATGTGATAGGACAGAGAGAAGAAAGTACATTGCAGTGAAAGTCCAAAGGCACATGAAACATTACTTTGGGAATACTTTGGGTCACCAAGGAAAGTAAGCGGGTTCCGAACATCATATTAGGCTGGGATGAAGGACAGCAAGGATAAAAAAAACCTCACACATTTAATTAGTGCCATTTATGCTCCTGGTTCTTCCCCTGCCCTTAGGCTCCATGCCATAAACATTTCCCCCAGCCTTACCTTTAATTTTGTGGAAGATTTCTGGCACAAAAGCCTGAATGGCTTTGAACCTCTCCACCACGAACCCCAGGGTTGGGAACTGGCAGCTGCCATAACTGATCAGCTGTTCTGCTAACACCTCGGGAAAAATCTTCTGAAGCCTCAGGGTTTGGAACCTAGTGAAGGCAGCTCCTAGAATGTGAGGAAGGAAAGAAGGAGAAAATGGTGGATCCTAAGATCAAAGTTACCTCCACATACTTACACAAAAATCTTGGTGCCACAGCCCAACATCCACTCTGCTACGTGGACCCCCACAAGGAGTTGGCCAGCTGCTCACCAATCCTCAGGTCCAACTCCTGCCTCACGTCCACGGCATTGCTCACTCTCTGATCGGGCTCAGTCAGGTTTTCACAGGCCACTCGGACAGCTCGGGGGGTGATCTCAGAGAAACGGGCTCTCAGCACCTGCAGATTTGGCTTCACTGTGGAACAGTCACCCAGGTTAAAGTCAAACCACATTGCTGCACCCAATTTTCTGATTAGGTTAAACTGACAGCATGGTATCCATCTAACGGGAAAACGTCATTATTACCGCTAAACTTAGTGTTGTCAGAAATAACAGCAGTGTGAGTTTTAGCAATTCAAGTGAATTTCAGCTATTCTCTTGGTGAGCCTCTCAAGATCCTAATATCTCAAAAAAAGAAAAAGAAAGAAAAAAGATCCTAATATCTCACTTGCTCTCCCAGACTTTTAGAAAAAATTAAAACATTGTCAATGAAAAGGTCCAAAGGAGGAATTTCACGTCCTGACATGGAAATAACATGGGACACCTACGCTTTCTTGAAAGTTAACGTACTTAAATTCCCAAGAATCATTACAGTTTCAGCACAAACACATTTAGGGAAAATAGAAACCATCCACTCTCTGAAGCCTGAGAATGGACTGTGCATCACTTCCTTGAAGTTACCTGAAATCATTAGCCTTGTTCGAGGCATTTAAATTGGTTTCAACAACAGGCTTTGTACAAAGAATACAGCAAATTAATACCTCATTCCAGAATGATTCTTTGCTCTGTATATTCAGCATATATGTTCTCTTGCACGTGTTCAAAATGCAACTTTAAAGGAATTAAATAGGGGCAGCCCCGGTGGCACAGCGGTTTAGTGCCGCCTGCAGCCAAGGGCGTGATCTTGGAGACCCTGGATCAAGTCCCACGTCAGGCTCCCTGCATGGAGCCTGCTTCTCCCTCTGCCTGTGTCTCTGCCTCTCTCTCTCTCTGCATCCCTATGAATAAATAAATAAAATCTTAAAAAAATAAATAAAGGAATACAATACATAAAGTCTTTGCTCTCAAGGAGCTGGCCATGTACTTGGACCTAATATGTAACAAGCCATGGGCTACAGGGTCTGAGCCACTGGTTAACTCATTTAATCCTGATGCAGCCCTAACAACTGTCAGATTGGCCTGACTTTCCTGAAAGCTGGGGCTCCCAAAGACACAGAGCTGGTAAGAACGAATGGATCCAGAGGGGAGACTCTCCAGGGAAAAACTAAGCCACAGCCCACTCTCTCAGGGGAATCATCTACTTCTGTGGTCCCAAAGTGGAGAAACTCAAAAGTCTCAGCACTTACCAGCCCTGCATACGTGGATAATTTCAAACCCGATATTTTCACCTTCTCTATCACAGTCGGTCCAGATTACCAGGGCCTGGCATTGCCGAGTCTCTCGCTGCAGAGTTTTCTGAAATTCCCAGTGGGGAAAGGGCAGTGAGAACACAATCACTATCACTTGACACTTCTACGCTAAAGAGATCTGACTGAACCTAAGTGACGTTCTTGGAATATGGCAAATTGGAGAGAAGGGAGAGATCTGGGGAAACCTCTAAGGATGCCAAGGCCACTAGTATAATCCTTCGACTTAGAATCAAAGACCCATAAATGAGCTTCTAGATTGAGGCTTTAATACAACTACCCTAGTATGACAAAACCTAAAATTCAGTTCTAACATATACTCGTAACTCTCATGGCTCTGATAGTATCCTGGTAAAAAAAGAAAAGAAAAGAAAAGAGAAGAGAAGAGAAGAGAAGAGAAGAGAAGAGAAGAGAAGAGAAGAGAAGAGAAGAGAAGAGAAGAGAAGAGAAATCCCTAAATTGAGTTTTACCCCCAAGAAGGCTTCCCAATTAGCAGTGAACTAATTATATGTGCCCTGACTGCTTGGGAACTCATAACTTGCTGTCAAATGACCCTTTACACTTTGTCATCTCTCTGTGCTAATTAGGGCTGGAGCCTAGAATTAATAATTTAACAATACTATTCCTAGGATTTAAACAAGTAGTATATATAAAAAGGCTTACTTTAGTTCCTTGGCTACTTAGTTTAAGTGGCCTCATTTATATGAGTGGGAGTAATTTTTAAAATGTTACTGGGGTGTCTGGGTGACTCAGTCGGTTAAGTGTCTGACTCCTGGTTTCGGCTCAGGTTGTGATCTCAGGGTTGTGGGATCGAGCCCAAGCCAGGCTCCACACTCAGCAGGGAGTCTGCTAGGGATTCTCTCTGTCCCTCTGCCCCTTCCCCACTCACATTCTCTTTTTCTCCCTCTCTCAAATAAATAAAATCTTTAAAAAGTATGTTAAAAAATAAAATCATGGTACTAAGTTTGGTGGGAAACTGGATCTCTAAATTCTAATGCATTCAGAATGCAGAAATCACAGTTCAATTATTTTGTACTCAGGAACTGTTCAACTCCAGTGCCACACGTCTTCCAAAACACCCTACCTTGATGTCTACAAAATTCTCTGGGCAGTACTTTTCAATTTCTGCTTCAAAGAGGACAAGGGGATTGCAGCTCTGCCTAGAAAAGAAATGAAAACACAACACATCCAACCTCAGCAGAGATGACAAGTCCTCTATTTTAATGAGAAAAAATTGCTCCAGTGTGCTCATGGATAGAACCCAAACAGAAAAGGTCCCACATTAAAAGGCCAGAGGATTAAAAGCAAGGCTATGATCCTCTGCACTAAGTGCTTTCTATGACAACAGGAGGAGCTAAGAAGTAATTCTGGAACTCTTTCATTAATGTCTGCAATAGGATCAGTTAATCCAGTGACTATGTAAAATAGGTCTGGCTATTTTAAGGGAAATACACTTCAAGGTGGTTTATTCTAAATGTATGGCAAAAATTCACAATGGTTCAGTTGATTTTAGGTCACTGCTGTGGGCTCCATGGTTTTTGTTCCCTCAAAATACATAGGTTGAGATTCTAATACCAGTGTGATGCTGTTGGAAGGTGGGGACTCTCAGAGGTGATTATGTCATAAAGGTAGTGGTACCTCATGAACGGGATTTGAGCTCTTATAAAAGAAGCCCCACAGAGCTCCCTAGCTCCTTCTACCAGGTGAGGACATGGTGAAAGGTCAGCAGGGTGCAATGGGGAAGAGGGCCCCTCACTTGACTGTGCTGGCACCCTGCTCTCCTACTTTTAGCATCCAGAACTGGGAGAAATAAATTTCTGTTGTTTATAAGTCCCTCAACTTGATGACATTTTATTAGAGCAGCCCGAATGGACTAAGACAGTCATCAGTATTGTAAGCTCTACGGTAAGATCAACAGGCCTCAAAATTCCTCTAGCATTTCACAACTTACTGTAATGTCCCCTAGGAACTGTACTGACCATTTGCGAAACTGCATCTGGAAATCGTAAGCCAGCAAATGTCCAGAAACTGAAGTCATTACCATGGTAACATTCTGAATGATAACAAAATTCGAGTTAGTCTTTTAGCAATTACATTTTGTCAGATCATCCAAATAAAAGGTAGGAACGTCTATTAAAGAAAAAAAAGGGAGGTTGTCAAGGGTTTGGGAGGAGGTGGAGAAGAATGAATAGATAGAACACAAAGGGCTTCAGGGACAGTGGAAATACTCTGTATGGTATTATAATGATGGATATATGTTTTTTTTTTTTTGTCCAAATCCATAGATGTACAACTCCAAGAGAAAACCATAATGCAAACTATGGACTTTGATTGCTTATGATGTGCCAGTGTAGGTTTGACTATAACACATGTATCACTCTGGTGAATGATGCTGATCATGGGGCAGGGTGGTATCTGTGGGATATGGTGGTGGGGGGAGGGCCAGGGGTTCTACAGGGCATCTCTCTACCGCCATCTCAACTTGGCTCTAAAAACCTAAAATGGCTCTAAAAGAAATAAAGTCTATAAAAAACAAAACAAAAACCTAGTTGATTAGGAAGAAATGAACATAAATACATCTTTTTGAAGCCAAATGCGAAAGTAATATAATCACCGTTCTCATTCTAGCACCACGATGCCTGTGATGTGATTTAAAGTTCTCTCAAACTATTGGGTATTAGCATCTTTCTTGCTATAAAGAGATGGGACCACATTTAATTAAAAAGTGACCACGTGGGCACCTGATGGCTCAGAGGTTGAGTGTCTGCCTTTGGCTCAAGTTGTGATCCTGGGGTCCTGAGATGGAGTCCTGCATCAGGCTCACCGAAAAGAGCCTGCTTTTTCCTCTGCCTATGTCTCTGACCCCCTCTCTGTGTCTTTTATGAATAAACAAAATCTTAAAAATAAAGTGACCACTTTAGGGCGCCTGCGTGGCTCAGTTGGTTGAGCTCAGGTCATGATCCTGGAGTCCTGGGATCGAGCCCGACATCAGGCTCCCTGCTCAGCGGAGAGTCTGATTCTCTCTCCCTCTGCCCTTCTCCCTGCTTGTGTTCTCTCTCTCATAAATAAAATCTTAGAAAGAAAAAGTGATCTCCTTAGAAATTATAAAAAAGTCACCTGTAATCAAGGATCTTTACGTCTTAACAATCGTTATTTTTAAAGATTGTAACTTATTCTACAGTGGCCAGGCTCACTCCACTTGATCAAATAACTCTTAAGATACAAGCAGTTTAGGGATGACCTGTAGTAGTAAACAGCTGTTCTTTTCACAGCCATAACGAAAAACTCTTGGAGTATACCCCAAAGTGGCACACAGATCAAAAAGCACACTTCAGCTATATGACAGAAATATTATAGCACCTACCTGGCCATATAGATGATAATCAAATTCATAGATCTTGTTGAATTTTGAAAATCCTTCCCTCTATAACAAAACAAAAATAGATCAATTACACTGAAAACAAATAATTCCTCAGTCTAAATATGAAACAGAACAGTGGTAAGCAATAATACTGAAAAGTAATAGTGTTTCCTAAAGACAAAAACTAGGCTACATTACTGAGGCCATTTATTGAGTGGCTCCTCAAAACACTTACAAGCACGTGATTGGTAGAGTCCACGGAGTTTTTATGCTGGAAGGTAACCTCAAGGTCAGCTAATATTAACAAACTCCCATAGATGAGAATGGATGTGTCAAGGTCACATCACAAATTAAAGGCAGAAAAAGGATTACAACATAATTTTCTTCCTACACCCTATACTTCTACTACTTTCTGACTGTACAATTGCACCTGTCAATGGCTGAGCACAGGCAAGTCATTCACTTTTCGAACATCTATTTTTTTTTTTTTAAAGTTGACTATTCGGGATCCCTGGGTGGTGCAGCGGTTTGGCGCCTGCCTTTGGCCCAGGGCGCGATCCTGGAGACCCGGGATCAAGTCCCACATCGGGCTCCCGGTGCATGGAGCCTGCTTCTCCCTCTGCCTGTGTCTCTGCCTCTCTCTCTCTCTCTCTGTGTGACTATCATAAATAAATAAAAAAAATTAAAAAAAAATAAAGTTGACTATTCATCTGGATGTTCCTTGAAGGAGATGTACAGAGGCTGGAATTTTTTTTTTTTAAGATTTTATTTATTTATTCATGAGAGACCCAGAGAGAGAGGCGGAGACACAGGCAGAGGGAGAAGCATGCTCCATGCAGGGAGCCTGATGTGGGACTCGATCCCGGGACCCCAGGATCACGCCCTGAGCCTAAGGCAGGCGCTAAACTGCTGAGCCACCCAGGGATCCCGTGAATATCTATTTTTGAATAGTTCTCCTCTGGCTCTAAAACTCAGTAACACTATGAGCCCCAGTCAGAACTAGAATCCAGTCTATAAAACAATTCTTCAGCTTGCAATCATGGATGAATAAGACCTTCTCTGAGTAGATTCCACCGTCCTCTACAGGGGCATTAAATGCAGTTACATGTGAGTTCTGCACCAACATTACACAGAAGACAAGAAAATGGCCAGCTGGGGGGGATGCCTGGGTGGCTGAGTGGTTGAGCGTCTGCCTTTGGCTCAGGGCATGATCCCAGGGTCAGTCCCATATCAGGCTCCCCCCGGGAAGTCTGCTTCTCCCTCTGTCTATGTCTCTGCCTCTCTCTGTCTCTCTCATGAATAAATAAAATCTTTAAAAAAAAAAAAAAAGAAAAGAAAATGGCCAGCTGGTAAGTGGAGATGTGTTCGAGGGCCAAGAAAGGTCAGTGTTCAGAAGATTCTTCCTTAGTCTCACAGACAACTTTTCTGAGTGGGATACGAGGTTCTCTTTGAGGCATAGTGACAAATTTTAAGAAGGAATTTATTTTAGTATCTCATACTTAAGAATTCACTGGTTGCCAATATCGCCAAGAAACTCCCCTTTACAAACGCCAATTGATAGTTAAGCCCTTTTATTTATTTTTAAAGATTATTTTTTATTTATTCATTCATGAGAAACAGAAAGAGTAAGAGAGAGAGAGGCAGAGACACAGGCAGAGGGAGAAGCAGGCTCCTGCAGGGAGCCTGATGTGGGACTCCATCCCAGGTCTCCAGGATCACGCCCTGGGCCGAAGGCGGCGCTGGGCGACTCAGGCTGCCCAATAAATAAAATCTTTAAAAAAAAAAAAGCCCTGAAGCCTTCCCACTTAAATGTACCCTGATATACAACAGGGGTGAAGTCTGTTTACTCACCCTCTCCCCAGCCCAGTCCCAAGTGACTCCTGAGGTGCATACTCATCATCCCTCAGGTCTCTTGGGAACACAGTCTGAAAATCACTGTTCCAATCCTCTCCAAGTAAATGACTCTGATAACATGTATATGACCCCACAACCAGGGCTCTTGCAGGCAGTGTCCTCTCCCAGAGATAGTCTTGAGAATGTGAAATGTTTTTCCTGACATTTCAAACTTGCCCCCCTATAATTCCCATTTGAGGATGGCACACAATTATGTGTGATTCCACATTCAGATGAGGTGCTCAGGGAAAGTGGATGCTCCCAAATTAGTTTTGGAGCCTAGAGAAAGAAAAAAACCTGGTAGATTGAACAAGAATGTAGCTTTTATAATCTCTTTTGCAGTGCTCTCCACTCTATTAAAAAAAAAAATTATACAAGTCCCTTCTCTAAGCACTCTGTAGGAACTGTCACATTGTTGCCACTAAATGTACAGCAGGATTCATTAAGATTTATCTTTCTAAAGGGCACCTGGGTGGCTCAGTTGGGGTCTGCCTTTGGCTTGGGTTGTGGTCTCAGGGTCCTGGCATCAGGCCCTGAGTCAGGCTCCCTGCTCAGCAGGAGGGCAGCCCAGGTAGCTCAGCAGTTTAGTGCTGCCTTCAGCCCAGGGCGTGATCCTGGAGACCCAGGATTGAGTCCCACGTAGAGCTCCCGGCATGGAGCCTGCTTCTCCCTCTGCCTGTGTCTCTGCCTCTCTCTCTCTCTGTGTGTCTCTCATGAATAAATAAATTAAAATCTTAAAAAAAAAAAAAAAGAAGTCTGCTTCTCCCTCTGCCCCTCTCCCTCTTGCGCGCAGTGTGTTCTCTCTCTCAAATAAAGTCTTTTAAAAAATAAAGATTTATCTCCCTGAATATATAAATAAAACCATGAAAAAGTTGTACACACGTAGAAGCTTGTAGTTTTCAGCATGTTTTTGAATGCTATTGTAAATGCAATTGTTTTTAAAGATTTTATTTATTTGAGAGAAAGAGAAAGCACCAACAGGGAGAGGGAAAGAGGGAAGCAGACTCCCTGTTGAGCAGGGAGCCCCATGCACGGGGCTCCATCCTAGGACCCTGAGATCATGACCTGAGTCCAAGGTGGACACTTAACTGAGTCACCTAGGTGCCCCTGATATTGTTTTCTTAATTTTCTTTTCAGATTGTTCATTGCTACTCATTCATGTGCACTGATCTTGTATCTTACAACTTTGTTGAATGTATTAGCACTAACGTCTTTTTTGTGGCTTCAAGATTTCTATTCTACAAAGCCATGTTGTCCACAAATAGACATATTTTATTTTTAAAAAAGATTTTATTTATTTATTCATGAGAGACACAAGACAGAGGCAGAGACACAGGCAGAGGGAGAAGCAGGCTCCCCGGGGGGAGCCCGATATGGGACTGACCCTGGGATCATGCCCTGAGCCAAAGGCAGACGCTCAACTGCTGAGCCACCCCAGGCATCCCAAACAACTAGACATACTTTAAATCCTTCCTTTCCAATTTAAATTTCTTTTTCTTCCCTAATTGCTTTAGCTAAAACTTCTAGTAATCTTGGATAGCAATGCCGAAAGCAGGCAATCTTGTCTTGTTCTTGACCTTAGAGAAAAAGCTTTCAGTCTTTTACCCTCGGTGTAGCGTTAGTGATGGGATTTTCATAAATGCCTTTTATCATTAAGAGATTTAATTTTTATCACATGTGTTTTCTGCATCAATTGAGGTAAGCAATGTAGGTTTTTGTTTTTTTTAATTTATTTATGATAGTCACGGGGGGGGGGGGGGGGGGGCAGAGACATAGGCAGAGGGAGAAGCAGGCTCCATGCACCGGGAGCCCGACGTGGGATTCGATCCCGGGTCTCCAGGATCACGCCCTGGGCGAAAGGCAGGCGCTAAACCGCTGCGCCACCCAGGGATCCCAGCAATGTAGGGTTTTTTTTGTTTTTGTTTTTGTTTTTTGGCAATGCAGGCTTTAAGTGGGGGATTACTGGGGTCATATGGGTATTTTATAAAGCCACTTTGGTAGTGGAGAGTTTGAAGAGTGAAAAGACCAGGGGGAAAGCTACTGGAGTTCTGTGAGGGGTCAAAGGCCTGAACTCTACAGATACAACCTCTGCTCTTGCTCCCATTATCCACGAACTAGAAACAGAGGCCTAGGGACCTTGGGATCTTGAAAGGAGAACTTCTGCCCCCTACTCTTACAAATGGCCTCCTGAAAACATTCCACTTTAATGACAGATTTTCCTGAACAGTTCTTGTTGCCTCTCTGCCACCTCTTTTACACAACCTTCCCCTTCCTTTGCACCTCCAGTGTGTCTAGGACACATTCTCATCTCTTACTTGCCTGTTCTTTGAAATGAGCTGGTACTAGGAAGAAGTAACTGGCTGAGTTCCCTCTAATCCCAAACCCCAGGCAGTACTGCCCTGTCGACAGGCGTTTACAGATTGGGAAATCAGTGGGGCTGCAGAAGGCAGGGGGTGCGCAGAGATGAGGGCAGCTAGTTACCCGGGGGGGATGCTCGTTCAGGGCCTGACCGCCAAGCCCAAGGACTTTGGTCAGTGCTTCCTTAAACAACTTAGCTTTCGAATCACACGGAATAATGTTAAAATTAAATATGCAGGGATCCCTGGGTGGCGCAGCGGTTTAGCGCCTGCCTTTGGCCCAGGGCGTGATCCTGGAGACCCGGGATCGAATCCCACGTCGGGCTCCCGGTGCATGGAGCCTGCTTCTCCCTCTGCCTATGTCTCTGCCTCTCTCTCTTTCTCTCTCTGTGACTATCATAAATAAATAAAAATTAAAAAAAAATTAAATATGCGTTAAATATGGGTTACTCGGCGCCCCATTCTCAGACAAATCTGGGAACCGCTGCTGTGGACAAAGAGGAGCCAAGGTGTTCGAGCACACGGGTGAAGCCCGAACCACGTCTTTACATGTCTACCACTCGGAAAAGAGGACAGGAAGCCACTGCGAGGACCCAGAAGCGAGAGAAGTGGCCTCCGTCTCTGTTCCCAGCGCCCGTCCCCCAGTCCCGCGGGGTGACCGGCAGGCGCAGCTCCCTCACCGCACAGCTGATCGGAAATACGCCTCCTTACCCGCCTCATGCGGCCGTTGGACAGCAGGTCGGCGATCCCCTTGGCCGCGTCGTTTTTCTCGGCCACACAGAGAATTCTGCGCACACCTCGGAAGGCCACCTCCATGGCAGCACGGGACAAGGTCCGGGCTCCCGGCCGTAGCAGCCAGCGGAGCGCGCTGCGGGCGACCGGGAAGATCATCCCTAGGCCCCGCGCCCGCAGCCGCCCCTCGGGTGCCCACGCATGCTGGAGAAGCCAGAGGGGAGGTCCAGCCGGCGCTCGCCCTAAGGGAACTGGGGTCTTCCGGAGCCGCCAGCACCACCTCCCGCGGCCGGCTCACCTCCCCTGAGCCCGCCGAGCTTCGGACCCGCGGCCGCCCCGAACCCGCGGCCGCCCCGAGAATCCCGCTCCTAAGGCGTGGCCACGCTTCCGCCCGCCTTCTCGGGCTACATCCGCCGGGCGCGAGCCTCACAGGACCGCGAACTACAACTCCCAGACGGCCCCGCGTCCCTGGACCCATCGCACGTTTCCGCTCCTCCGCCCCACTTCCTTTCTTTCCACACAGGGGTTGGTAAGTCGGTTGGTCCTTGGGAGAGGCCGCTGGAGGGTTCTGCCCACACTTGTCGCTCGCTCACTCCAGCTGTCCCGCTCAGAAGTCTACGCGGAGGCTTCCGGGTCACGCGACGCTGACACCGCGAGTCATGTGATGCCAAGATGGCGGCGCCGCGTTAGCTGGTTCTGGGTTGTGGCGTCCGAGGAGCCGCGACGGTTTCTGCCCTCGGGCCGGCAACGCTTGACCGGCCCCTGCGGCGGCCCGTAGCCCCGCGTCAGACACCGGTCCCGGGCCGGGCTGTTGCTGTCGCGGTGGGTTAGGGGGAGTGCCGGTGACCTCGCTGCAGGTGTCCTGCGCCGTGCGCTCTCGCCCGAGGAGGAGGAGGAGGAGGAAGAGGAAGAGGAGGACAACCGGCCTACCCGGTCTTCTGGACCTGCGGAGTCCACGGGCCTCTGAGGGGACTGTGGGAGTTCGAGTCTACCAGTGTGTGAGAGGCAGCCTAGTACCCCCGGGGGCGCCAAGAAGACGGCAGGGACTTTGCTTCCTCTTCCAGAGGTTTGGCTTCCCAGCGTTGATTACCCCCGCCTTCTTTCTCACTTCCTCTCAATGTTGTCTCCGTATATCTGGAAATATGATCAGCGCCCCTGACGTGGTGGCCTTCACCAAAGAGGAGGAGTACGAGGAGGAGCCTTACAATGAGCCCGCCTTGCCCGAGGAGTACTCGGTGCCGCTCTTCCCTTTCGCCAGCCAGGGAGCCAACCCGTGGTCCAAACTGTCCGGGGCCAAGTTCTCTAGGGACTTCATCCTTATTTCCGAGTTCTCTGAGCAGGTGGGACCCCAGCCCTTGCTGACCATCCCCAATGACACCAAAGTTTTTGGTACTTTTGATCTCAATTACTTCTCCCTGCGGATCATGTCTGTGGATTACCAGGCCTCCTTTGTGGGCCACCCCCCTGGTTCTGCCTATCCCAAGCTGAACTTTGTGGAGGACTCCAAGGTGGTGCTGGGAGATTCCAAGGAGGGAGCGTTTGCATATGTGCACCACCTTACCCTGTATGACCTGGAGGCCCGGGGCTTTGTGAGGCCCTTTTGCATGGCTTATATCTCAGCAGACCAACACAAGATCATGCAGCAGTTTCAGGAGCTCTCAGCTGAATTTTCCAAAGCTTCTGAGTGCTTGAAGACAGGCAACAGGAAGGCATTTGCGGGAGAACTTGAGAAAAAACTGAAAGACTTGGATTACACCAGGACAGTGCTGCACACAGAAACGGAGATCCAGAAGAAGGCCAATGACAAAGGCTTTTACTCATCTCAGGCAATTGAGAAAGCCAACGAACTGGCTAGTGTAGAGAAATCCATCATTGAACATCAGGACCTGCTGAAGCAGATCCGCTCGTACCCTCATCGGAAGTTGAAGGGGTCTGCTCTGTGTTCTGGGGAGATGGAGCACGCCCAGGATCAGGCCAGCCAGCCAGCCACTACCTCTAACACTGATGAGTGTGCTGACACAGACCTTTACACCTGCAGACCTGCTTATACCCCTAAACTCATCAAAGCAAAGTCCACTAAGTGTTTTGACAAAAAGTTGAAGACCTTGGAAGAGCTCTGTGACACTGAATATTTTACCCAGACCCTGGCCCAGCTCAACCACATAGAACACATGTTCAGAGGAGACCTGTGCTACCTCCTGACCAGCCAGATTGACAGAGCACTTCTAAAACAACAGCACATAACCAACTTCCTCTTCGAAGATTTTGTGGAGGTTGATGACAGGGTGGTAGAGAAACAAGAGAGCACACCCCCTAAACCCACTCCAGGCAGGCTGCCTTCCAGGTCTCTGGAAGAATGTCCGATCCCTCAAGTGTTAATTAGCGTTGGTTCTTACAAGTCCAGTGTGGAGTCTGTGCCGATAAAGATGGAGCAGGAACTTGGAGATGAGTACAGGGAAGCGGAGGTGACAGAAATGAGCAGTTTTGATCCCCAGGAAAGCTTGGACTATCTAGATATGGACATGAAAGGGAGCATCAGCAGTGGCGAAAGCATCGAGGTTCTGGGCACGGAGAAGTCCACCTCTCTGCTAGATAAATCTGACAGCCAGGCCAGCCTCACCGTGCCATTGAGCCCCCAGGTGGTCCGGAGCAAGGTGGTCAGCCACAGGACCATCAGCGAGGACAGTATTGAGGTCCTCAGCACCTGCCCCTCTGAAGCCCTCATCCCTGACGATTTTAAGGCCAGCTACCCAAGTGCCATTAACGAAGAAGAATCGTATGCAGATGATAGTGAGGGAGCCATCCACTTCCAGGCAAGTGTCAGCCCACCAGAGCTGGGTGAGGCAGAGGAGGGCAGCTTAGAAAACACCTCGTCACAAGCAGACTCGTCCTGCTGCATTGGGAAGGAGAGTGAGAGTCTGCGGGTGCCCCTTTCCACCCCAGCCCACACCCCCTCGGATCAGGATGGAGTTGTGAGCATCCCCCCACAGCGCTACAGGCAGAAGGATCAGGGATTCCACGTAGACTTTGCGGTGGAAAATGCCAACCCTTCCCAAGACAACAGTTCTGAGGGCTTTCCTGCTTATGAGCTGGATCCAGACCACCTGCTGGCTAGCCGGGATGTCAGCAAGAGCAGCCTGGACAACTCTGACACTACCAGCAATCTGAGCAGTATAGCCTCCACCAGCTCAGACAGGACTCCCTCCTCTGCTTATCCTCCTGGCCCCTCTTCTGAGAGGCATAAAAAGAGGGCTGGCCAGAACGCCTTAAAATTCATCCGTCAGTACCCCTTTGCCCACCCGGCCATCTACTCCCTCCTCAGCGGGAGGACACTTGTGGTCCTGGGGGAGGACGAGGCCATAGTGAGGAAGCTGGTGACGGCACTGTCAATCTTTGTCCCTAACCACAGCCGTCATGCCAAACCTGTGAAGCACTGGATCTCCTCTCCTTTGCATATTACGGATTTTCAGAAATGGAAGCTCATCGGCCTGCAGAGGTAACTGGTCACCTATGGTGGGGAAGGGCCCTGTCCAGCTAGAGATGAGACTTCATGTGTATATTCCTCTGGGGGTGGTGAACCAGGTTTGTGTGGTGGGCTCAGAATTGGACGACCTGGCTTCCAGACAGGACCCCCAACACCAGCCCACTCTAACTTTTTGCAGATCGTTTCCTTTCTCTGGCCGCCTGTTTCCTCATCCTGCTAGTGAAGGGTTGCAGTTCCTATCCAGAGTGGTTGCCAACCCTGGTCTGTGATCTGCCCTGTCAGAATTATTCAGGAGAATTTTTTAGATCATGGATTTCTGGGTTCCATCCCCCAGAGATTCTGGTTCAATTGGTCTGGGGTAAGACCTGGAGTCTGTTTGGCATACAGGAAAGTTTGGGGAACTTCTAGATCTCAGGTTCTCTCTGATTCTCAAATTTATACTATGGTGTAAATGACCTAGGAGAGATCTGCTTCTGAGAAAGGGCTGTTGGTAGTCCTAGAAGGTGGCAGCTGTCTTTGGTGACGGGAACATCTGAAGGCTCCCGTGGCTTTTACTCCACTGTCCTATTTTCCTTAGAAGGCTGTCCTTTTTTCCCCCCCTAGAAGTCTGTTTTAATAAGGAAATGCAAGAGCCAATTCCTTCTCTCTTTGAACGCTTTCTACTTTATCTTCCCATTTGTTACTTGTGTTTTCGGAGATTCATTTTGTTTTTTCAGATACAGCTTGACCGGTGGTCTAGCCCAAGGGCCTCTTTCCCTCAGGGTACACCCTGTTCAGTTTCCCCATCCCCTTCTCTGCACCCCGCTTTGCACTTGCTGACACAGCTTCCTGGGCTACAGGGGGAGAGAAAAAGGATTTCTGTCTCACTGCCATCAGAAACTGTTTCCATTTTCCGACTTTCCTTTTGCATCTGCTATAGTGAGGTCCCCATGTCCCAAGTCACCTTGTGTCTGCTCCTTTGCAGAGTCTGTCCCATGGCTCCCGCTCTAAGTCTTGCTGCCTTAGGCTTTCGTCAGGGTCGTGGTGGTGGCTCATAAGCAAGCGTCACTTCCACATCAGGCCTTGGCTTACTGGCGGTGTTGGCAGGTGCTGGGGTACCATCTGGGGGTACATGAGCAAACCCACCACCCTGGAAGAATCCACAGTTCAGGAGGGGAAATGGGGGACCAGAGCCTTGCTGTAGGAGGGTTCCAACAGCAGGTGCATCGTGCATGCTGAGAAAACAAAGGGGGCGGTTGAGTGATGTGTGGGAAGTGAGGGAGTGGGGCGCCTGGGGAAGGCTTGGGGTGTTTGACTTGAGTCACCAGGAGGGTGAGCTTGCCAGGGGAAGAGTGATGACATGGGGACTTGGTGTGACATGGCCAAGTCACCCGGACAAGCCCCTTCCTCAGGCCACACAAGAAACCACCGTGTGGAGTCCTTGCTTCTGGGTGCAGACGCAGGCTTGGAAGTGACAGACAGCATCTGGTGTCCTTGCAGACTTTGGCCTTCCTCCCAGGGTCCCAAGCCTCTGCTGATGCCGGCTCTTTGCTTGGGTTTAACGCATCTGTTCCAGGAAGGCAAGGGCTTTTCAGGGATAGCTTTTGGCGCTGATGTTGGTGGAATAAGGGGTCAGTGTCCCTGGCACACACATAGCTCTCCTCCAGGTAACTCCCTCACCCCAATCCTTGACCTTTCCCTTTTTCTCCCCCAGAGAGGGAGAATCTAAATCGTACATCTGTCTGTTGTCAGCTGGCTTATCCAGGGCCAGACTCAGGACGGCATAGCCCTTTCCAGAAGCTTTCCCTGAAATTCCGTCCTTAGAATGCGCCGGGATGGCAGAAGGTGGTCATCTCTCAGGCCAGCTCGACTCCGTGGGGTACCTGGCTGGAGTGCTGTGTGGAGGATTCCGAGGCCCAGGCTGGGCTGCCTTGGGAAGCCTGCTGTGATCAGTTCATGAAGTGTGGGGCTGCAAAAGTGGGTAGCTGGCGTCCCTGAGGCAGAAGAGGAGGTGGGAGGTGGTCTGAATCTGGGGCCAGCCCTACCAGTGTTCATCCCCGTGACGGGCAAGCATGGTCTTCATGGGGGTCCTTGATGCCAGTCCCAGCTCTGCCAGCTTGATTCCTTTTTTTAAAACTACATTTTATTTTTTATTAAGACTACTTATTTATTTATTTATTTGAGGAGAGACAGAGGGAGGGAGGGAGAGGAGCACGGGGAGCAGGGCAGGGGGAGAAGCAGACTTCCTGCTGGGCAGGGAGCTTGACATGGGGCTCAATCCCAGGATCCCGGGATCATGACCTGAGACGAAAGCAGACACTTAACTGATGGAGCCACCTAGGGGCCCCGCGCCAGCTTGATTCCAAGGCTGTTTCTATCTGCAGGTGCAGCTGCTAAGACCTGCCACGTGAGGGTGGATGTGGAAAGGCCCATTGCATTTGGGCTGGGTCTGATCAGTGTGAGTGCGTCTCTGATAACCTAACAGGGATGCACACAGACTCAAGGGAGACAGGCTGAGGCAGCAGGCGCTGAGTGAGGCCTTAGACCCTATAAGCGTCCTCTGTGAAGGTGAGAGACCCATCAGAAGTGGCAGATGAGAGCTTTGCAGATGGCTCTGAGTGGGGAAGTGTCTTTCGTTGCTGTCCTTCTCAAACCTGGGTGGGCACAGATGTTGGCTACTGGCAAGGTCTGCCTCCAAAGGGTCCTGCTCTGGTGCGAGATACCGTGGGCAGAGGTTGGAGGCCTTGTTCCCAAGGGAGTGTGTCACTCCCAGAGTGGGGACTGGATCTGCCACAGCTCTCCCAGAGAATTCCTGGGACCCAAGCAACAAATACGACATGAACGTATTCTGAGATGAAAAGCTGTGGAGTCATGGCCCTGGGGCGGTCGGGGAGGAGCACAGTGGGTGCTGCAAGCTCTGGTCCAGATGTTCCCACTATCTGTCGTGTGGATTTGGGCCAGTTCTCTCCTTTCCTCTCATTCATTCAACAAAGCTTGTTGAACACGCCTGTGAGCAGGGCTTAGGATGCTCACCGTGTGGCACTGCAGGAAAGGGTCACATCCCCGTGCCATGCTTGCCCTTTGAAGTGCTCAGAGCTGTGGATATAGGTGGTGAGACACCCCAGCAGGCAGAACCAGTGTTGCAACTGGGAGGCAGACCGAGGCCCATCTGAGGATAAGGAGTAGGAGGAGGAGGAGAAAGGCCTCTGTGTGGCCTTTCTGCCCCTGGGGGAGCTCAGCTCTAGAGGGGGTTGATGTCATGTGCTGGGTGAATCTGGAGTCCCAGAACTGTGACCCAGGAGGGTCTGTCCCATCTCAGGTCCTTTGACTCAGGCTAAAACCAGCTCAGACAATGAACTGTTTTTAATTTAAAGACTCTCACCCCCCTCCAACTGCCACTTTCATTGGCTCTTGATTTTTTTTTCCGCTAAGGTAGGCAACCTCTGTTGCCTGGAGGTGCTCAAGAGTCGGATTCATCACTTGTGGGTATGAGATGAGCAGATAATCATGTTGGTTTCCCATCATTTTCAATCAAAATGAAGGATAATTGTATTTGTTTACCACATTGCAGGAATAAGCCCTGGACAGAACTGTCTGATGGGAGAAAGTGCTAGTGGGGGGTCAGAGGCCCTGGGTGTGTCCCTGGTCGGCCACTTTCTAGCTGGGGGACCTTAGATGAGGGACAGCCCCTCTTTGGGCCTCAGCATTGGCACCTGTCCAGAGGCTACCCCAGCATTGGGATTGGGGAAGGCAGGGGTGTCTCGGGAGCTGACTGAGGAGTCCTGTGTCCCCAAGAAGCCAGTGAGCCACCTGCCAGCCCTGCCTCCTCATCGCCCATGTGATGGGGTCCACGGCCCTCTGCTCTCTTCATGGTTTTAAGGACACCTGGCCTGTTGTAGCTCTCCGTTTTCTTGTCTCTGTGACCCTGCTCTCGTGTGGTCTGGATGCTGTCCGAGGTTCTCAGCCCACCTTTGCTGTAAGGCCCAGCTCTGAGGCCATTCCTGCAGGACTTTTGTGGCCCCAGGCCTCCCTTCTCTTGGTGTACTGTGTGCATGTCTTTTCTTCCCAGCCCCACCAGGCTCGTTCTTCACTGCCTGTTCCACGCCCCAGTCACTGCCTGGTTATATAGTAGATGCTGGTAACTGTATGAGAAGATAACAACAGCCAAGAAGGAAAAAATATAATGAGATTACCGTGGTCCCAAGTGCCTGTCAGTCCTCTGTACACAATACGTTAGGCCTAACACAAGCCCTAAATTCCGGATGTGTGTCCATCTGTGAAATCTCTGGTTGGCCAGACCTTTGCCAGACTGCAAGGTGACTGGCTGCTCTGGGAAAACTGATCCAGAGGGTTTTAAAGAGTTGCTTGCTAGGGCTGATTACCCTGACCCCCTTCCCTCATTGAGCAAGCCCTGTCTGCCTCGGCTGTACGGGCACGGTAGCGGACGGTGGGTCAGGCGGCCAAATCTGCTAGTCCCCCGTCTGCAGAAGCTCTGTACTGTGGGAGAGAGAGGAGACCAGAGACAGCACACTGACTGGTGCCAGGCTGATGATAGTGAGGGCCAGATGCTGTCCTAAACAGGACCAATTTTGTCTCTGCAGTAGCCACATGAGGCAGGACCTGGTATCTGTTTTACAGTTGGGGCTCAGAGGGGTTAAGGAACTTGGCTGAGGTCACCAAGCAAGAAAGCAGAGAAGCAGAGGGAGGGGATCGGGGACAGCCAGGTCAGGTTTGAGTTGGCATAGAAACAAGTCCAAATGGAAGGGAAAGGTATTCTGGGCAGAGTGTAGAGGCCTGTGATTTTGAGGCCTTCCTGAAAGCTTGGCATGTCTGCAAGGAAGTCATTATGGGGGTAACATGGGGCCTCAGAGGCCAGCAGGAAGCAGGTCACACAGGGCCTGTGGGACACGCCAAGGCACTTGAACTTGGTCATGAGGGTGGCGAGGCGCCCTTTGAAGAGCATCATGATCAAATTTGCCTTCCAGAAAGAGCCCAGTGAGTGTGCTGGAGCTACCCGGAGACAGGAAGCCCCGCCCCCAGCCTTTCCTCCTGACATTGGCCTGTGTGTTTCAGAGTGGCATCCCCTGCCAGTGCTGGCACCCTCCATGCCCTGAGCCGCTACAGCCGCTACACAAGTGTCCTGGACCTGGACAACAGGGCCCTGCGCTGCCCCCTCTACAGAGGCATCCTTGTGCCCCGGCTGGCAGACCACCGCACTCAGATCAAGCGGGGCAGCACCTACTACCTGCACGTCCAGAGCATGCTCACCCAGCTCTGCTCCAAGGCCTTCCTCTACACCTTTTGCCACCACTTGCACCTGCCTGCCCATGACAAGGAGACAGAGGAACTGGTTGCCAGCCGCCAGGCGAGCTTCCTGAAGCTGAACCTGGGCCTGGTGAACGAAGATGCTAAGGTGGTCCAGTACCTGGCTGAGCTGCTGAAGCTACACTACACACAGGAGGCTCCTGGAACCAGCCACCCCACACTCAGGTTCGACTACGTCCCCAGCTTTTTGTACAAGATCTGAGGTCAGCCCCAGCCACTGTGACCGAGACCTGGGACTCAGGGTATGGGGAGGGAAGGGGAGGGGTGAGCATGAGCAAGCAGGCCTCTGAGCTGTTTAGACTTCCGTTGTCATCTGTAGGAGGGAAACCAAGATGGCAGCCCTGGTTCCTGGGTGGCTTCAGGCAGTTTGGGAGTTGGACTTGGGCAGAGGCGAGCACCTGGCTCTCCGAAGGCATTGGAAAGGATGGTAACAGGTCGCTGGGCCTGGTGAGGTGTGGCCCCTGGGGTTGGGAGGGAGCCGCTTGGCTTCCTGGGAACTGGTAACCAGGCCAGGAGAGAGTCAGCATTCTCTCGATGCGGTGGGATGAGGGGCAGAAAGGTGAAGCCCAGTCAGGAGGAGTATGCCGGCACGTTTAGCTCCCAAACACTTGGGCAGCAAATCAAGGGGTGAAGCACCCCGTTCACTGGAATGGTTTAGTGGGAAACAGGACAATAGAACATCCATTGCCTCATTCAGATCCCAGCTGGGGTCCTTCACTCAGTACCCTACAGCCCAGCATCCCAGGAGGAGGCCCCTGAATGAGTGAGATGGAGGGGAGGCAGCTCTGCCTCATTGGGTGGTAGCAAACACAGAACTTTCTGGGCCCTCAGGCAGCAGGGGAAGCGAGGAGCACCCTGTCTGGTCCTTGAGTCCTCACTAGGCATGGAAGTGCCTGTGGTGGGCTTTGCAGCTGGTTCCCCTGGGTCAGCAGGAGTGGCTAGAGTTAGTCACTAGTCCTTATTTGTGAGAACCACTCTCACAGCTGGAGAGCCCAGGAAACAGGCAGGGCCATGGTGCCACGAGGTCATCAGCACTGTGTAAGTGATGAAGAACCAGCAGGCCTCTGGGGCCCAGCCCACCAGCCTTTCTGGCAGTATTGAGTCCAACTGTCCTCCTGGGGAAGGTCTGCAGACATGCTGGGACTTGGCCGAGGTCACACCCCAGTCCTCCACCCACCGCAAATCTTTGCAACCACTTCACTACCTCTCACAGGGTCTTGTGGGCACAGTGACAGCAGGGTTTTGCTTAGCTGGTCCGTCTGGGGAGGCAGCTTGTCTGGTGAGAACCCACGGCCAGGGTCTCCTTCAGGAATGAGGAATGCCACCTTGTGTGGCTGTCTTCATGGATCTGCCCCACATGGGCCTGGGATACACACTCATCACTGCTCACTCTCGCCCCCCATGCCATCCCCTCAAACACATGCACCTCACCACTGTTCACTCCTGCCCCGTGCAGGTCCCCCAGGTACGCTCACCTCACCACAGCTCGCTCCCAGCCCCATGTGAGTCCTCCCTTCAGGGAAGAAGATCCCCGGGTCACCCACCTTGACCTCCCTGACACTCCTTACACAGTTGCTGTTGGTTTGTAAATGGAGGTTTCTTGCAACCTTGAATTTTTTATACTTTTTTTTTTATGGCTGCTTTTTTTTTCTCCAAGTAGGGATAACTCTTAGCATTACTGCTTTTTAATTTGTTCTAAGACACTTGTGATAAAACAGACCTGAAGCAGCCACAAAGCGGTTGCTCCTGAGCATGTGTGTACGCATCTCCTGGCACCGTGTACTGCATAGTTTGGGGTCTTGCTGTTGAGACCTGTCTACCTGTCCGCTTTTGTGGCACAGCACTGAGGCCACATAGGGGAGCCAAGAAGGGTTTGTGTCACATCACTCCTATGGTCCCCTCCTGGCCTGGGTTCTGTGCAGGAGGGTACAGCCCATGGGCTCCTGGTCAGAGCCCACTGTCCTGGCAGGTGTGTGAGTTCGCTTCTGAGGCTATGCCTGAGAAAGAACCTTCTGTAGCAGATGGTATGTCTACATCTCATGGGTTTTCTTTGTACCTGTGCCCATTGCATATGTTCACACACAGAAGAGTTGCCAGGAACGTCTTGGCAGCTTAGAAACGTGACGTGTGTTTGCATGTGGGGAAGGCTGCGCAGGAAGCCTGTCGCACTCCATGGGCTTCCCCCTCCGTTGCTGCCTCGGTCTCTCGAGTTCAAGACACTGCTGTGTTTTCTACCTGGGAGGCTCACTGCTGTCTGCTTAGGCCTCCAGGGACATGACCTTATGACGCTTTATCTCCAAGGCACAGGAAGGCCTCTGGGGTCCAGAGGACAAGACAGAGAAGGCGATCCTTGGCACCACCATGGCTTCCCTTCTCGTTTCACACCATCATGGACTCTGCAGTTAACAGTGCCATCACCTGGGAAACTGACTGAGGCAGGAGATCAGTCATACTTGGCCTTCCAGAAGCTAAAGCCATTGGCTGCTGTGGTCTAAAGTAGTCACTCTGGAGGGGGTTGGTGTGGAAGCTCTGTCTCAGGGATGGTTCTGGAGGCCCCAGGATTCAGAGCAAGGGACCAGTCGGGTGTGAACAGAACAGGGGTGCCTTGTGCCACGGCCAGCCTCAGAGCAAATGAGTGTCTCCCTGGAGTCGTTCATTCATGAAATGAAGTTAGCTACACAGACCAGTGGGTAGACTCCAAGTTTTACATTTTGGTTAAAGTCTAACTTTTCACTGTGGCCGTTTCAAAGGATTGCTTGATGCCAAGTATGTTTCTTTCCAAAGGGATTTCATTGTGGCCCTGGGACTGAGCCAGTTTGGGCAGGCACTTGAGACAGTGGAGATGCCCTTCCCAGACCCCCTCCACTTTGGAGAACTGGAACCCACTAGAGATCCCGCACCTGTAAATCTTAAGGGTGGGGAGTCCTATGCAGTGGGGCTGATCTCTTTGCAGTGGGGCCTCAGCCTCCTTTGAGGTTTGTCTCAAATCAGACATTTAAAAAACACTTTGCAGAAAATAGAGGACATCAGTGCCTCTTACTACTTTGTCAGTCCCCACTCCCTCTGAAGGCCCAGACACCAAAAGTGTGTCTAACGTTTATTTCAACTTTACTTCCAATCTGGTACCGCTCCCCTATCCCCAACCACCCCTCTTTCAGCAGGTCCAGGTTGAGAGCAGCCTGATGAGGCTAGCGGTGCTGCGGTCATGCTTTCCAGAAGCTCTGTATAAGAGAGGAATCAAAGCCTTTGTAGCACCTTGGCCCTCGGGACGCTCCAGCCTGAGCTGTTGCCTCACGCCTCCCTGTTTCCCTGGGGACCTTGCTCCTTTAGTGGGATCCTTGGAGTTTAAAAATTGTGACTTGTCCACAATTTACCGCAATGGCTGAAATTCTCTGAATTGCACCAGAATTTGGAAATGGATTATCATAGCTTTCTCGTCATTTCCCATCAAGCTTTTAACTTCTTTGTTGCTACGTTCAAGGTATTATTTGTAGGTTTCGACCTCAAATAACATCCCAGTTCAAATCCTAGGAAGACCAACAGATGGTACTCTGAGTGCCAAGGCTGCTACAGCTCTGTGACAGGTTTCCAGAGGCTTAAAGAGATTGCGTGCACACCAACCACCCACTCTTCCAGCAGTGCTGGACGCATGCCCCCGCCTCCCTGGACCTGGTGTTGCCAAGCAGGTCAGCTTCTCATGCTGCTGCACAGCTGGTAACCCTCAGCTGCTGGGGAGCCCATGGGGAAGCATGGACAACCTTCAGAGGAACTGGTCTCCCAAGCCAGCAGTCCAGTTTTAATTTCTCATCTCCCTAGAAAGCTCAGAAGAAAGTGCCTTGGTTTGTGCTTTGAAGCCAACCAGCCAGCTTTCTGGCTTTTCCCCAATACTGTGATAGAAAGTGACAAAACTGGAATCTTTAAAAAGAGGTAACAGTATTAACAGACTGTAAGAAGGAAAAAGCATCAAATTTCTACTGGCTGGAAAGAAAACCAGTCTCAGCTGAAAAGGTCTGAGCACACCAAGTTTTCCTGAGCCCTCAGAGGAGAAAGCTGTGAGCATTGACCTAATCTAGTCCTACCTGTTAAGGTTTGGTGATGGCCAGGGGAAGGAAGAAGTGGGGTGTGGGTGGGGGGCAGAGTGAGCGCTTTGCAGTGAATACAGCTGTGGGGCATGGAGCCCCAGCTTCCTGGGAGTAATTGTTCAGCAAGGGTCTTGAGGCTCTCCTTTTGTGTTCAGTTGAAGGAGGAGCCAGGCTCCCTGAAGGGAAGACTAGCTTGGTGACATCATGGTTCCCAAAATTAAGGCAGAGAGATTTGGGGACTGTATGTCACCCACACCCCCTGGAGTCCCCAGTATCCATCACATGCTGGACCCCAGGCCCCAGGGGCACCCTCCAGGCAGGACCACGGGGTGCCTCGCCCACTGACTGCCCAACTGCTGGCTGGCTATACAGGTTGGGTTGAAAACATGCCATCTTTTAAGGCTGCAGTGAAAAGCATAGTCTGTGATGAATTCGTAGCTGTTATTTTTGGAAAGCTATTTTATTACTGCATGTCCCTCTGTCCATGCGTGTGAATGTGAGTCCTAACCACCCCAGGAGCTGCAGGCATCGCAGTGCACGCACACCTTGAACACGTGCGTGACAGCAGCTCTTGGGTGTGGCCGCATCAGAGTCTAACCAGAGTAAATGCCAAACAAATAGTATGAGAAGTGTACTTTTTAAGAAATTAATTTATTTGAGTTCAGATATTTTTGAAATATAAAAATTGGTTGTATTTTTTAAAGCTATAATTCTTGTAGACATTCTGTGGTTAAAAATTCGATTGTGCTTATTAAAAATGGTCATCTATGTTTTGCACTTCGGCTTTGTGAAAAATAAAGTTTCTCTGGGAAGGTGACATTTGGTTTCCTGATTACAGGAGGGGGTTGGTTACCTGGCACAGGGCAGGAAGCCCCCCCCCCCAACCCCCACCATTGGTTCTCACACCTGATGACACCTGGCAGCCCCCAGGGGTGGGGGATGAAAGAGATCGTTTCCAAGATGTCCTGAGCTGCTGTGGAGAACCTCCCACCATAGTGGGCGGCACCCTGTATAGAAATCACCAGAAGCTTCAAAATTTCCCTCAGTGATGACAATCCTCAGTCTTCCTTTAGCAATCCTCCACCTAACAAGACGTGAAGAAGGGGCAGCTCGTGGCAGCTCTGAACTTGGGAGGTTGTCCTCGCAGGGTGTGGGGAAAGGCCAGTAACTCAGAGAAGCGCAAGTACACCTCCTGGGGTCTTTCTAACCGTCAGCCCTGAATCCAGTCTAAGTACTTCATTTTTTCCAGAAGAACTTTTTATACAGCTAAGAGAAAGGATAATTTAAATGCCTTAGTAACTTGTCCCAGAATTATTAACAATGGGTCTTAAAAACAAATTTTGATTTGTGAAGGAGTGAGGAAAGCGGAGAAAGAAACCCCCTCGGGGCACAAAGCAGTCGATGCAGTCGGTCCCGTGTAGGGCAGCTCTCCTGTCTCTTCTCAGAAGGGCACCGGGTCCTCGAGCAGGTGGTTCCTGGGCAGGTGCGGCTCCTCTAAAAGTCAGGCAGGCCAGGCAGAGGGAAGAGAGAGGCGAAGCTCTCCACTTCCTCCCTGAGAGCCCTGATGGCCCTTTGGTGCTTCTCGTCCCCTGCCAGTTTCTCTCTGAACTCCTTTAGGGTGGCCCTGGCACCGATGTCGTTCTGAATCTGCAGAGTCAGTTCTATCCCTGTGCCGGCAAGAGACAAAATGGGTCCATGCTGCGGCTCAGTGGGCCTGAGACACACCCGAGGCTCAGCTGCCAGTATGTTCCCAGCAGCCAGCGCGGGACAGCCAGAGGTGTTAAGGCTGACCTCAGAAACGATTCTGGTGTGCCCCCTTCCTTGGGCCCGACCACTTTACAAACCTCTCAGCCTAGATGGTTTGGTAAAGTGATTTTTGCTATCTCTTGTCGTCCCCAAGCCCTCAGCCCGGACCAGGAACATCCTTCAGTGGCTGGGTGTCCAACTGCTCAGTCGCAATCAGAAATCCATACACAGTTCGGGATATCTGACTTCCAAACCTTTATCCTTACCTCTGTGAACAAACTGGGCTACTTTCTGGAACTCTTTCTCCAAAAGTCCTCGAGATGTCAGCGCTGGAGTCCCGAGACGCAGTCCGCTGGGCCGCAGTGCACTTTTGTCACCTTCAAGATAAACAGGCTTTGTCCCTGGGCCACACCCAACTCACCACTGACCGCCGTGCATTTAAGACGCTTGGCCAAAAAAATTGGCCTTTGGGTGCCAGCTGTATCTAGGAAGCTGCGTGCTGCTGATTTAAATGCCCAAAGGGAGAGAGCAGCGCATTAGGGTCACGGTACTGAAACAGGAGGTTGCTTTCAGTGGTGTGGTTCTTGCTCCCCAAAGTGAGGCTAGCATCCGTCTGTGTTAGATGCATCACCCACACTCTTCCTATAACTCCCTGAGAAACCCGGCCTGTTCCAGAGGCCCCACTTCCCTTATCCACACACCCGTGGCACCTGTGAGCAGTCCTCCCCAGTTCCTCCTCTGTCCCTGGCACAGTTACAGCTGTGTCGGAATGAGCAGGATGGGAGAGAGCCATGATTTTGCACCATGCTGCGTGATGTTGTACACACCCCTCCAAAATCCTGGAGTGTCTGTCCCCAGAGCCAAATTACCACCAGCTATAACCTTGGCCAAAAGAAATGCAGTAAGTCAGGAGAGGTACAGAAGAAGAGACCAGCAAGGATTCTTACCTGGACAGGTATTCTTGTTACAGGCAATAGAACAGGCTTCTAGAACCTTCTCAGCCCTTCCACCGTCCGTACCTTTGGAGCGGAGATCCACGAGGATCAAATGGTTGTCAGAACCACCTGGAAAACCAAGTTGGACATGTAAGAATGTGGAAAACTGACTCCGTGCCAAGTGAAGGTACCTCTCCCTCCCTAGGAAGTGAGGGTAGGGCTGAAGGAGGCTCAGGCAGACAAGGTCAGAAGGTGAGCACCCCTACTGTGGGTCCTGTAAGACTTCAATCCTCTGCTAAATAAAGGATGCCCCAGGGCCACAGGATTGTGAGAAAAGACAGTAGCTTACAATGGGTACCTGGAGATGGGCAGAGGACTGTGAGGCTGGGGGAGCTTTCCCGGCCCACGCTGCCCACTGGTAATGTGGCACCAGGTGCCGGCGAAGGGCCTGGCAGCTTGTCTGGGGAGTGACAGCTTGTTCAGTGCCCCTGGTAGCTCTTGTTGGCTCTTAATGATCACTTGGGAGTTCCCCCATGTGCCTCCGAGATCCACCTGGAAGGCTCCCTCGAAGGCAGCGTCAGAGTGGCAGGCAGCGGCTGCATTCACGGTCATGGTGGCTGACTGCAGCATTCACTGAGCACATGGTAGGTGCCAGGCTTTGCTGGTCTGCCATGTGTCTTACCCTAATCCTGCCAGGTTAACACTGGTTAAGGTGTTATCAAAGTGGTCCACATGAGCCTACTGAAGCTCCAAAGTTTCTGCAACTGGCCCAAGGCCATGCAGTGGTCTTTCAAGCACCTGCATCTTTCTGCTTCAAAATCTCATGAATCCCAGGCCATTAACTTGACCAACAGCAGTGACTTCAAAGACGGCAGTTGGACTCAGCACCTAGCTCTGGACCCCACAGCCTAGAGGTGAAGCTGTGCCCCCTTACTTCCTGTGGCTTTAGGCAGCTCAACGTCTTGGAACCCCAGATGTCCATTTATAAAATAAGAGCAATAATTCACAAGGCTGCCGTGATGTCTCAACATGGTGCCATCTGTGGCATTTTGCCCGCATTGGGCACAAAGTGGGTTATCACAAACGCTGGCTCTCCGTCACCAGTATCTAATTCCGCCAGTTGCAGTGTGTCCTCGGAGCAGAGTGAACTAGGGGTGCGGGCAGGCCTGGGAGCTCAGGAAGGTGGAGACCTCTCTCCTGAGACTCATGGGAGGCCTCAGACAGAGCCAAGCTGCGGGGCTGCCATGTGCTGTCTGTAACCAGAGGGAGTCTGGCCTAACCTTTCCCAAGACCAAGTGTGGTTCCCACACCAGCATCACCTGGGAGCTGGATGGAATACAGACGCCAAGCCAGACCTGCCAAATAAGACTTGCATTTTAATAGGGTGCCTGGGGGGTTGCTGTGTACCGCCAAGTTTGACAAAGAGTGACCCAAGGGACCTTGAAGGTTGTAGTCCGTGCCGAGATTTCTAGGGCTTTCTTCCCAAAAGATACGGAGGATGAAGGAGAAAGGAGAGAAGGGAAAAAAAAGAAGTGAACCAGAGAAGAGGCACCCCCGGGACTGCTGAGGACCCAGTGTGTGTCCCAGCTCTGCTGCTCACCAACAGTTTGGTGGGCAGCCCACTCCTTAGACTGGGGCCTGAAATCCCCGAGAAGGGCAGCAGGCCGGGCGTGGGCACCCGAGCCTGCAGAATGCCAGGACCCACCTCCCTAGACCACCCTACTTGCAGCATACACAGCAGCCTTGGAGCAGAAGAACGAAGCTGTCCCTCAAGATCACAAAGTCGGCCAAAAGAATGCCATCCTGGCTGTGTGAACCTACAGTGACACACGTGGACGGCACCCTGAGTGGGCCTCACCTGCAAAGTCCACCCCACAGGAGGTTACTCAGCGCCACTATCTTTTGTATGAAAGAAAACATGGGCACAACATACTCCCTGTGAACTCCTGGTGGGAGGGCCTGCTGTCCCCTGACCTTCAGGGGTGCCTGGAGACACCCCCCAGGGATGGCATGAGGTGTTGCTGTAGAGACGGTGCTGGGGTCCTGCTCTATTCCAGATCATGGTTCTGCTGGCCACGAGCCATGTGAGCACTGGTACCTGCCCTCCCTCAGGTGAGCTTCAGGTACGCCTTCCACAAAGCTCTCCTGTGGTCTCCCATGCCAGTGACAAACTGTCCATGGCTGCTGCCACAGCGCCCAGGGCCACTGTAGCCACAGTGTCCGAGGGCAAGGCTTCAATGCCACCCCAAGGAGCCAGGGGCACCTCCCCGGGGTTTCTGCTGGTACCTGTCACCACTTTGTAGCCCAGCTCCATCAGGGTCTCAGCCAGAACTCGGCAGTTGGCCACCACCTGGTGCTGGTAAAGTCTGAACTCCGGAGTCATGGCTTGCTTCAGGGCCACAGCGACCCCTGGCGGGAAAGAGATGGGGTCAGGAAGGCAGAGGGGACCAGGAGTCCAAGCCCCTGGTTTCCGCTCCTTGCTTTGTCCCCTCACCCCCCCAGAGGGTAGATTATACTCCTCCCCACAGATGGTATATATTTTTAACCCTACGATTACCTGGCTAAACCTCAGACCTCTCCTTTTTAAGGAGCTGCTTTTAAGGTACCTTTCAAGGTAGTTTCCTCCGGGCATGGGAGTCTGCTGTAAGATCACACAGGGAAGCTGCTCTTCTGCAGGATGGATTTTACGTCCTTTCTAAGCTCAGCATATGAACATGAGAACTCGACTGCCCAATAGAAAGCTTCTGCTTTGGTGCCAAATTATCCACATCTTCCCAACCTGAGGCCGGGAGAGTGGTGTAGACCTGTTCTACGTGCACATCTAGACTCATCCAGCCCCTTGTTCGATCCCAAGGGCTGCTTGAACAGGGCACAGAAAGTGAAGAAGACAAAATAAGCACTGCCTAAGTGTGGGCACAGAAGCCTCCCATCAGGGTTGGTGGAAATGACTGGAAAAGGCCCAGAGTGGCTGGAGAGTGGGTGATCCCATCACCCCAAGAGCTGAAGAAGCCAGACATGGAGTTTAGAGGCGTAAAGGTGGAATGGGACCTGCCCCTGACTCCCCCCAGGGGCTGAGATTCACCCACTCCCTGCTGCCCCCCTTCCCTCCTCAAAAACACAGTGCTTCTCCAGATGGAGCTTGGATACCTTCACCCTGGGCTCCTCTACCAAACTGCTTTGTTCCAAAGAAGACATTGGAGCAACTCCGAGATGACAGATTTCCCAAGCCACTTGCATACAGAAGGAATGCCACTGGCAGACTGCTGGGTGAGCTCGGTCAGCGGTGTGAGGGTCAGGGTGTTGGCACAAGCAACTCGCCCTCGCAGGGCTTGGATACTCATCCCTCACTCCCTTTGCCGTGCCGTCTTCCAATTGTTAAACTCCTTCCCCGCTGGTTCTTAAAGAGGGCCCTAGCTATTTTACAGAAGATGACCTGACAGTTTTGCGCCAGGGGCGGCCATTTGGGCAGAGTGGTCATCAATCCCCCTCCTTCCTGCCTGGCTGCAGTTGCCAGATTCCCTTTTCTTCCTCATTAGCACTTCCCAGACAGAGAGTTTGCTCTAGCTGTTCCCCAACGTGCAAGTCCTGGCACACATTTGGTGGACAGGTGAGGTGGGAATTAGGGGCCACAGATGAGCAAAGGCGCAGGAACTTCTACCACTAGCTGGCACAGGGGCTGCCATGGGTGAGGGTGCACCCCCAAGTGCCACCCGAGGGCTCTGGGCTGACTCTGATGACATTTTACCAGCAATGGCGTGGTTGTGGGGACCTCCCTGCAGGCCTGGGAACACAGCAGAGTTGATAAGCGACTCCAGGTTGTACAGGGTCTCTTTGCCGGTCTTGGGATCCACGCTGCGCACTCCTGGATAAAGGAAAATAATAAAATGGGAACAGCAGATGGGCCAGATGGACTGTCCCCTCAGTCTTCTCCCTACCCAGACTCAAATCCAGACTGGCTGTGGGCTGCTGAGCACAAGCCTGGCCTCTCGTCCTGGAGGCAAGACCTGGTCTATAATGCTGCAGAGCACAGGGCCCCTTGCTGGCAGAGCAAGAGCCAGGCCACTCTTTTGTAGATGAAATCAAAGGATAAAAGTTTCCCTCCACTGACACTGTAACAAAGAGTGTGCCTTGGGTGTATTTCCTCAAAGACGTGTCCAAGAGAGCAGTCTTCCAAGATGATTACTTTGAAGGAGAGAAGACTCGTTTGTATAATGAAATATATTAATTATATAATAATGGCTCTAATGGGGACTAGGATTCCTTTCCAAAAAAAAAAAAAGTTAATAATCAGTTGTAGTTACTAATGTGTCTACAGAGCTTCTTGTGAGCCAGGAACTTCTCTAGGCACTTTATATACATTAATTACTGCTCCCAACACTAGTCTGAAGGGACAGGTGCTATTATTACGATCCCCACTCAGGAGGTGTGGAAACGAGGCACAGAGAGGCTGTACAAGTAGCCCAGGATCACACAGTGCAGACCAGGAGCTGCCCAGGCTAGCCGTACTCAGTGGGAAGCAACAAACATTTCCCAGGCAGTTGGGAATGGCTGCCCGTCTCAGAACGTCGATACAACTAAAGAAGACCCTCAGAGACAGCAGCGCACTGAGGAGGCTAGTGGGCATGTGGGTGTGTCGAGCCCTGGCCAGGGGGCCAGGCAAGGAGACTGCAGGGGAGAGAGACCCCACCACCGAGGGCTGGTTTCTCTGCAAGTGTGTGGACATCTGATCTCACCATGGGCTGGATGATCTGATCACAAATCTGGCTTCCTCAGTGTGGGAATCCCAAAATAAAGGGAGTGCTTAGATATGGGTTTCAGGTGTTCAACAGAGAATCCTCACTAAAAGGACTACAGTGGTAACTAAGGTTTATACATCAATGTCTTGTGGTTTGATTACTGTGAGTCGTTCTCTCTGCGAGAGGCATGCTGGACCACAGTAAGTTCACCAGAGGAAGGTTGCACAGTGAGGCCTCTGATGGCCCCTGGCCAGCCACGTACACCTTCCTTTGGCTCTGACACCTGTGTCTTGTGGGGAGGACTGGTTGGCCCACAGCACCATACTTTCCTCCTCTCCCAGGACCTAGACACCAAGGAATGAGGCTAGAGCTGTGCTCCGAACTTCCTTCCAGATCTCTTCTGCAGACTTATCATTGCCCCCTCCTAAGTAGCCCTTTCAGGGACACTTCAAGGAATTTTCCCAGTTTCCCAAACTGAACATGAACCCCAGAGGAGACCAATGCCAGCACCTGGCCAGTACCCCACATCCCAGAGTGTACCTCTCCTGTAGAAGATTATGCCGGCTCGGCAGCCTCTCAGGGTTTTGTGGGTGGTGGTGGACACCACGTGGCAGTGCTCAAAGGGAGAGGGCACCACACCCGCAGCCACCAGCCCGCTGATGTGCGCCATGTCGGCCATGAGATATGCCCCGTTGTCATCCGCGATCTTCCTCAGTCGGGTGTAGTCCAGGTTTCGGGAGTAGCAGCTGGTTCCTGAGATGGCAAAGGTGACACAGTCCAGTCAGAGATACCCACAGCCAGCTGAGAGTCACCGGAAGTGCAAACCTGCAAAGGTGCCTCTGGATAGGCAGATTTGAAAGCTTGGAAATTTCTCCCTCAGCATCTCTGAGAACAGAAGTGAAAAAGACCCTTAGAAAATATCTTTGTGGGGATCCCTGGGTGGCTCAGCGGTTCGGCACCTGCCTTTGGCCCAGGGCGCAATCCTGGAGTCCCGGGATCGAGTCCCACTTCGGGCTCCCAGCATGGAGCCTGCTTCTCCCTCTGTCTGTGTCTCTGCCTCTCTCTATCTGTGTCTATCATAAATAAATAAATCTTTAAAAAAAAAAAAAAAAAGAAAACATCTTTGTGCCAAAGGCAACCACTCAGACCTGCCTCTTCATGTCAGGTGCCTCTTCACAGCAGTTGGGACAGCCCCTATTATTAACTCCATCAATTAGTTAGTGGTAACATTTCTAGATGCTTCTCTGAGAACAGCCTCAGATCTTATTCCACCTTGTACTAAGTGGGGGGCAAACAGATATTTGTCCTGAAAGAAAAGAATATACTTAGACCCAAGAGGCCCAGCTATTTGAGGCAGAGACTAGCAGTGAGCTAGAGAACATCCCCACATCATCATTTTGGGTTTTTTTTTTTTTAATTGGTACCTTTTTTTTTCTTTAAGATTTTATTTATTTATTCATGAGAGGGAGAGAGAGAGGCAGAGACACAGGCAGAGGGAGAAACAGGCTCCATGTAGGAAGCCCGATGTGGGTCTCAATCCCGGGTCTCCTGGATCACACCCTGGGCCAAAGGCAGGCACCAAACCGCTGAGCCACCCAGGTGTCCCCCCGACATCATTATTTTGTAAGAGGCCTGGGAGCTGCTGACAGGTACAGTTCCTTTACCCCTGACTCGTCACCTGCAATAATCAGCTTCGGGTGGAAGAGGCGTGCGTTTTCCTCCAGTTGATCGTAGTTGATGTAGCCAGTTTCTGGGTTCACCTGTGGAATGTCACAGAGACAGCAGGTTCGGGCTGCATCTTCCAGCACACCGTGCCTGCCTTCCCACCCAAACTCATGCCAGCTATCAAGGCCAAGATGACTTCCTCCACCTGCCCAAAGCCTGTTCGCTCCATTCTACCACAAACACAGGAAAACTGTCCTAGGATGCAACTTGAGGGTGAGATGGGGTACCGTGTATCTGGCCTACAAAAGTGGTGTGGACAGCCAAGTTATCGCTCAAGGAGGCAGGATGCCCTGAGGGGTCCCCAGAGGAAAAGTGAGCCCCTGTCCTGGGGCCTCTACCACCGAGGACAAGGAACCCAAGAGCCACTGCAGAATGAAATGGGAGCAACAAACATGCACCCCTGCAATGCAGGTGCTAAGACGCTGTTACCTTTGGGAATGAGACAATATGCTGCCTTCAGCTCTTCTAGTCCAAATACAAAGAGGCAAGAAAAAGAAATAGAGACACAAGATCAGAAGATGTAAAAAGCTAACATTACAGAAACCATGACAGTGTCCCTGGAAAATACAAGCCTCTAGGGGCAAACTATTAGAATTAGTAACTAGGTTTAGCAAGATCGCTAGATGTAGGGTCAAAAGCCAAAAACCAGTTACATCCATGCATATAAGCAGCAAAAAATGGGAAACGAAATTTTTTAAAAAATATTTTATTTATTTATGCTTGAGAGATAGAGGCAGAGACACAGGCAGAGGGAGAAGCAAGCACCATGCAGGGAGCCCGATGTGGGACTCGATCCTGGGACTCCAGGATCACGCCCTGGGCCAAAGGCAGATGCTCAACTGCTGAGCCACCCAGGCATCCCAAGGGAAACAGAATTTTAACGATACTACTAATATTACATTAGTTTCAAAATCCATAAAATATCTAATAAAAGACTTACTTATTTTAGAGACAGTGTGCAAGTAGGGGGATGGGTAGGGTGGGGGGAGAGAGAGAAGAGAAGAGAAGAGAAGAGAAGAGAAGAGAAGAGAAGAGAAGAGAAGAAGAGAAAAGGGAAAGAGACGAGCAAACTACTCGCTGAGTGTGGAGCCCCATGTGGGGCCCGATCTCACATCCCTGAGATCAGGACCTGAGCCGAAATCAAGAGTCAGATGGTTAACCAAGGAGCCACCCAGGTGCCCACACACAAAGCATTACTTAGAGAAATTTAAAAATTCAAAAAGTTACAGTGATTAAGCAGCACATGTTTGTGGAAGGAAAAGAACAGAAGAGACCCAGAAACAGCACCCCTTGTAACAGAGGGTCATCTGATCAAGGACTAAATGGTAATGCTGCAGGGAAAGGATAGTCTTCCAGTAAGTGGCACCCGGTCTGCTGGATGTCCATGTGGAAAACAGTGTTATCTAGACACCCACCCCACTGCACCCCACAGAAATCATTCCAGGTAGACCGTGGATCCATCTACATGGGAAACATAAAGCAATTTTGTTTTCCTCTTGGGCAATGCATGTCTTTGCAAACTCAGCGTATTAAAGCTGCATTAAAGCATCTATGCCAAGGGGAAGTGAAAATCAAAGCAAAAGATTTTCGTGGAGTGAGGCATGGGAGCTCTCTGGGGAGGAAGTAGTGGAGGAGCCTCATGGTCTACAGCCCCTTCCTCCTTGGGGCAACGCTCAGGTGTGGTGGCTACCCTTCCAGAATGAAAAGAAGCACTTCCAATCCCACATGGTCACAGAAGCTCATGTGCAACCAACATCATCTGGAAAGGCAGGCAGAGGACCACCTGTGGTTCTGTTTCAGAGGGAATGAACTGGTTCTTTCTCAGTCACCTGAACTTGGCAGGGAAACTGTTACCTTGAGAAAAACCAACAGGGACGCCTGCGTGGCTCAGTGGTTGAGCATCTGCCTTTGGCCCAGGGCATGATCCCAAGGTCCCAGGATCGAGTCCCACATCGGGCTCCCTGCATGGAGCCTGCTTCTCTTTCCTCTGCCTCTCTCTCTCTCTCTGTCTCTCTCTCTCTCTGTCTCTCATGAATAATAAAACTTAAAAAAAAAGAAAAGAAAAAGAAAAAAACCAACAGCTGGACCACAGCAAAAACATGGCCATAATTCTAAAAAAGTTTTTAAAGACATTATACACCCCCCCAAATGTGTTGTTCCTCCTACTCTTCTACATTTTGGCTTTTTTTAAGTTTTTTTCTCTTTTTAAAAAAAATCCTAAACATTCGACAGTAAGCCTACTGCTCCAGGGAAAATTCATGAGTATTTGTAAGAAACTGCAGAGGGGCCAGAGGAGCGTAGAGGGGCAGGAATGGGGCCTCCCCTGTCACTTGGGACCTCCGGAGAGGGGACTCGTTGGACACGGGAGAGAGGGAGGGATGGAGGTTCGAGTTGCTGTTTCCCGGGAGGATAAAATGCCTGGCTGGCTCTGCATGCCTGCAGTTGCCTGGAGGGTGAGAGAGCCCCACGGAGAGGGCAGGGGCTAGGAGAGGCCGGGCAGGGAGGCAGGCTGGGGAAGAGGAGGAACAAGGCAGCTGCTGCCGGAGGCCAGTCAGGTCTGTGTCCTCCTCTCTGCACCAGGCCCGGTGCTCACAGGCACCCCACTGGCAGGTGAGCTATGCTTCCTGCTGCCCAAGCTGGCCAAGCTCCAGGGTCCCACCACTCCACATCCCTGCAGGCCTACCACCACTGAGCCTCCAGCCTGCACCCATGGGGCTGCAGCCTGCATAGCATATGTGTCAGAGATGCGGGGCGGCTGAAGGAGACTGGGATGCGGCCCCAAGCTTGCTAACACCCAGAAGAGATTCTTGTAGTAGGGTGCAGGGGGCTGGGTATCTCTGTCGGTTAAGCATCCGACTCTTGATCTCAGCTCAGGTCTTGATCTCACGGTTTTGAGTTCAAGCCCCACATTGGGCTCTGTGCTGGGCATGGAGCCTACTCTAATTAGTTAATTAATTTAAAAAAAGAAGGGACTCTGGGGTAATGGAGGACATTGCGTTAAAGAGTAAGGCTGCCCGAGGCCTCACCTAAGATCAGAAAACAAGTCTGTGATTCCTCTCTGCCACCGTTCTTTCCATAGTGAAAGAAACTGTAGAAACCAGGTTTTGTGTTCTATGTACAAAGACAGAGCATTGTCCCGCTAGGATCACGTTTCAAAATCCATCTCCAAGGTCAGCATTGGCCAACGAAGATACTAGCAGCCAGAAATGCCTGGGCTTTCCCTAACAAGAAGTGAACTGTCACTTGCACACCAGAAGCACTCACATGGTCACTGGACCAAGCCAAAGGCTAACAACGGGTGAACAGTTAAGGGGAGGCAGCAAAGACCACAGAATGCCAGGAGGGAAAACTGGCTTGGCCTTCTTCAAAGAGTAAAATCCCGTGGCTGACACTCAGCCCAGCACAATGATGCACTGTGACCTCTGCTTGTGGTGGGACACGTGAACAAACCTGGAACGGCCCACCGCATATAAAACACCAGGAAGAAATGGTTTCTGGATGCGAGAAAGGGTTGCCAGGGGCATGGACTGCCCCATAGCCAAGTGTGAGGGTTACTGCCTTTGTCCCCAGCACCACCGGCAGCACCTTTACACATCAGCTACCATGCCCCCTGGGAGCCCACGGGTCTTCTGTGCGTTGTTCCACCAAACTGTTTATAATGACAAGGGCCCCACAGGAATACGTGCCGGCCCCACGCCAGGCACACAGCTCATATAGGCTGCAGCTAGCTGATAGGTCGGTGAGGGGCGGCGGGGTGCAGGGGCCAGCTGTCCTGGTGGGCTGTGTGCCGATGGTGGGGCTGCTGGTGCCAGGGCTAAGGATGTAGCTGGTGGCCCAGAAGTTCCGAGCATGGCTGTCCCTGATCCCCAGGGGTCTGGCTGCAGCTGACCTGGGTGCCAAGAGTCATCATCCCAGCTGGCGTTGCCCCTTGGCTCTGGAGCAGCCCCCACCACCTCCTCCGCTGCCTCCCTGACCTGTCTCCCTAGGCTTCAGCTGCCCTGGTGTGCTCTGAATGCCTGAGGAATCCCCAGGCCAGGGAGGTGACAGATGGCGAAAGGTAGGGACACTTCCTCTTGCACCTTAGGAACAGGACCACCTATTCCTACAAGGGCAGACCTGGAGACTTTCTGAGGAAAAGGACTGCAGAGCCACGGACAGAAACCCACTCTTACCTTATAGGGCATAGATTCAAAGAAGATGGACGTAGCAGAGATTTTCTTCTTGTCTGTCATGAACCCGTGTGTCAGGTGGCCCCCATCGGGCAGGTCCAGGCCCATGATGCGCCCGTGGGGCTCCACCAGGGCAGTGTACACTGCAAAGTTGGCAGGGGAGCCTGGAACGCCAGACCAGAGGAAGTACGATGACTTCTGCCTGTGAGGCCCCAAGCAGGACCCCAGAGCTTGGCCACCAGACCATCCACCAAGAGTGGACAGAACAAGCCTGGCACCACTGTGCAGCCCCCAGTTCCCTGGAGGTTCCCCTGCAGCAAACCCCGAGACCAAGGGACAGGAGTTCAGGAGGGGTGAGTCAGGGGCAAGCCAAGGTCAATGGAAAGAGACCCACAGACCCAGGAGAGGCTTAGCTTATTTTTCACTCTCATTTATGGGAAGTCCTTCTTGGGACTCCTCTCAGAGAATGCAGGGGGCTGCCCAGACCTGGCTGGATGTGGCAGTTACCTACCTGAGTAGGGCTGTACGTTGACCCCCCAGCACTCAGGATCCAGACCATAGACCTGCAGCGCTCGCTTCTGACAAAGGATCTCCAGCTCATCGATGAACTCGGTCCCACCATAATACCTGCAGGAGACAGCCGACTTAGGTCCCCTCTGGCCCCAAACCTCTGCGCTTCCTACAGAGGCCAAAGAAGCTCCCGGCTGGGGTGGAAGAATTAAAGCGGAGAAGTGGTGAGAACCAGTACCCTGAACCTCACGCCACTCGTCTTCCATTTGTGCCAAGTCGGCTGTGTGTCCGAGGAAATACCTCCTCATCTATAAGGAAAAGTCTGATGTGGGCTGCATGCATGAACCCTGAGGATACACAGTCATTATGCTGAGCGAAGTAAGCCAGTTACAACTGTGTGATTTCCCTTATATGAGGTTCCAAGGGCAGAGTTCCAGAGACAGAATGTGCAAAGGGGTTCCTAGGGGAAGGGAGAAGTGGAAAGTTCTTTTGCTTTTTGTTTTTACAGTTCTAATAAAATTTTACTCATTTGGGCAGCCCTGGTGGCTCAGGGCTTTAAATCTTTAAAAAAAAATTTTTACTCGTTTAATAGTTACATGTGAAAATTTATATTTGTCATATCTGTATATTAGTAATCATAATAATTCAGATTTTTTTTAATTTTTTTTTTTTTTTTTTATTTATGATAGTCACACAGAGAGAGAGAGAGAGGCAGAGACACAGGCAGAGGGAGAAGCAGGCTCCATGCACCGGGAGCCCGACGTGGGATTCGATCCCGGGTCTCCAGGATCGCGCCCTGGGCCAAAGGCAGGCGCCAAACCGCTGCGCCACCCAGGGATCCCAATTCAGATTTTTTTAAAAGATTTTATTTATTTATTCATTAGAGACACAGAGAGAGAGAGAGAGAGAGAGAGAGAGGCAGAGACACAGGCAGAGGGAGAAGCAGGCTCCATGCAGGGAGCCTAGCGTGGGAATTGATCCCGGGTCTCCAGGATCAAGCCCTGGGCCGAAGGCAGGGGCCAGACCACTGAGCCACCCAGGGATCCCCAGTAGATGTTTTTAACACCTGTGCCTTGTGGTCAGAGAAAATCTTAAAATTTTTAAGTATATATACTCTTTTTGGGGCACCGGGTAGCTCAGTCAGTCAAGTGTCTGACTCTTGATTTGGGCTCAGGTCATGATCTCAGGGTCCTGGGATCCAGCACCACATTGGGCTCCCTGCTCAGTGGGGAGTCTGCTTCTCTCTCTCCCTCTGCTCCCCACCCCCAGCCCCTGTACGTGCACATACTTGCTCTCTCTCTTAAAATAAATAAATCTTTAAAAAGTATATATTTATATATACATACATATGTGTGTGTGTATATATATATATATACATATATATATATATATACACACACACACACACTCTTCATCCTAGTAAAGACCAAGTAACATAGAATTGACATCTTAATCTTTTCAAGTACAGTCTACTGGTGTTAAGTACTTCACACTGCAATGTATATTCCCAATTTTGTGCAACAGACCTCTAGAACTTTCTTGTCCTGCAGAACTGAAACTCTACACCTATGAGCAGCAGCTCCCCGCTCCCTCCCCACAGCTGCTAGGAGCCATCATTCTCCTTTTCGCTAAGATCTTGACAATTCTAGACAGCTCACTGTAGCACAACACACTACCCATATTTTTGAGACTGGGTTATTGCAGGTGCCACAATGTCCTCATGGTTCATCTTCGATATAGCATGTGATGGGAATTCTTTCTTTTTTAAGACTGAAGGATATTCAATTATATGGATAGAGCACATTTTGCTTATCCATTCATCCACCCAGTGATACTTGGGTTGCTCTCACCTCTTGGCTATTGTGAATAATGCTGCAATGGACAAGTCTGGAAATCAAAAGGGGCTTCACTGAGTGATTTGGAAGGTCCCTTCCAGCATCACATTCTCTGCTTTGTCACCAAAGAAGTGTGTGGTCTCCCCAGGTTTGAAGGAGAGCAGTCCGACTGGGGAACAATTATGGAGCTTCAGGAACATCAGGGCTACAAGGGAACGTAGCAATTTGCCATTTTTCAGGGGAGTAAACACAGGACAGTGATTCAGGGTCATGATGGGGCCCCAGTGCCCCTATCTGCCTTGCCTCAGACAGAGGAGCCAAGCCACCTGCCAAGCATTTGCCACACAGATGTGGATCTGAAGCATGCAAACCTGGTTCTGTTCTTTACTCTGGGAGTTGGAGCAGCCTCCTTCACCTGCTCAAGTCTGACTCCTCATCGGGAAAGGGGGTGAGAGTTCTGACTTTGCAGTCAGGCTGCAATATACATGAAGGTGACTGTAGTCACACTCGGCCTGATGCCTAGAACACAGCATTACGTTTTACCCTCAGTGACAAGGCCACTGTCATCTCACTGATCTCCAAGAAAGACAAAAGTGTTCTCAATGAAATGGTGGCTTGGCATCTGTGAGATCCATTCCAGTTTCAGAGATGTTAAAATGTCAAAAAGTAAGTGCTCTGGGTTGATGGAAGTCAGCGAGGACTCAGCATGGTCCCCTGCTGCTGTCCCCAGCAGTGACTAGAGATTCATCTCGGGACAAGGGATTTGGAAGACTGATATGGACCTAGGATCTAGGCCATGTTCTTCAAAAGAACTTCCCCTACAAGAAAGTGGATCCTCTTCATGTGTATCAGGACAAGACTCTCAGAGGAGGAGAAATGCCTACCAGTGCTTAACTGATGCCCTCAAACCACAGTAGTAAATACAGTGTTAACTCTTACCACCATGGAGGGGCAGATATCACCACCGGCTTCACCTCTCTACAGATAGAGCAGTACCTGTGTCCACTGGGTGGGGACGAAACCCTGGGACCCATCAAAGTTTCTTTTACAAGATCAACTTAGAAATGATGGAACCCCTGAGACAGCTTGGAATTTGGAGTATGTGGGTGGTTTTTCCAATACCAACCACCAATTCTTGGATACCAACTGGGTGTCCCAACAATTCCATTCGATTCTGACACAAACTACCCAGAGTTAGCACAGACGCCACAGGTTAAGGACTCAGTTTCACAAGGCTGCCCCCACTTTGCACACCAGCCACAAGTCCTGGGCCCCCATGCTACCCATGCCACTCTCCCGCTTGGCCACGAATTTGGGGGTCCCTACAACCTCCTCTCACGCTCATCATTTCACCAGAACAATTCACAAAACTCAAGAAAGTCCTTTACGTATGATTACTGGTCTGTGAGAGAAGATTCAACTCAAGAACAGCCCAAGGAAGAGGTGCATACGGCAAGGAATATGGGAGGGCACGCCACCCTCCCAGCACCTCAACTGGTACAAGCCCTGCCGTGTCTAGCCTCCTCTGGTGCCCTGGTGTGCCCTGGAGGCTCGGGGAGAGGGCTGAAAACACTGACCCTCTAATCTCCTGTCTGGTCTTTCTGCATCTAGGGGCCCCACCCACAGTCACCTTGTGTAAACTCAAGTGTGGTCAACAAAGGGTCACTTGAGAATAAGAAAAGACACAGCTACCACCAGGCAATTCAGAGGCTTTAGAAGCTCAGAGCCAGGAACCAGCAAGAAAGACCAGATGTTAATTTTTCATAAGACCACACAGTATGAAAATGTCTACCTGTGTGCAAACCTGAGCCGTCACTGAATCTCAGTGAGTCTTGGCTTCCTCATCTGTCAAAGGTAGAAATAGCACCCCCGGCCCCGTAGGGTGGCCTCGAGGATCAAATGAGCTACTGGTTGTGAAAACACCAGATGAAGCCTTGAAGACGCAGAAAGAAGGTAGTCATTTAGGGCAGGACAAAGATTATGCCTTCAACTTGATTCTCGACCTTTCTCCGGAGAGCTTCAGGGGCTTTTCAGTGCAGAATGGCAGGCAGTTCTACTCGAGGGTGACCCTTCTTTTTGCCATGTCCTTTGGGACACAAATATACAAATCTGCAAAAACCATATGTCAAATTCTATAATCATCATATTTGATAATAACTATAAAAAACAAAAATGAATAGAACCTCTTGTGGTTCTCGGGGTGAGGGAACTGACCAAATCCAACGTTTCTAATGCAGCCACGACAGATTCAATTGTCACTTCTGGGTCACTCCTGATACAGATTCGATTACTCACTGAGCAACAAATTTCCATGGCATCATTCAGAGCACTGACCTTTTCCTAGAGGTTCGACAATGGCCCAGCAGCTCCAGACTCCTTAGGGACTAGCCTGTTATTCTAAAAAGCCCCAAAAGGGACTGCTAAAGACTCTAAGTAGAGCTGCTCCAAGAACATCAGTGCTGCCACACGCTGGGAATTGAAAATGAGTTATGACAGGATGGGAACAGAATAGAAATCCCCACGTGGTGTAGGCTCTATACCGACTCTGTAGCTCCCATCAGTATGTCAGAAGCAGGCCTTTGACGGCATTCACATACCTCTGGCCTGGGTACCCCTCAGAGTACTTGTTATTTAAGCAAGAGCCGAGGGCCTCTAAAACTGCCCGGCTGGTGAAATTCTCTGACGCGATCAGCTCCAACCCGACCCTCTGCCGGTTACTCTCCTTCTTGATGATGTTGTAAACCTGATGAGAAGAAAAGGGATGGTGAATGTCTGGCTTAGCATTTTACTCTGATCAAAGCCATAACCTATCTAAGAGAAGAGACACTATGATAGATTCATATTTTGCCCGTAAGAGCTGACCATAGCCTAAATAACCCAACTGAGAAGACTCCCGTAGCACTTAGAGAATAGAGATCTTCCTCAGATTTTAGCATTCAGGGAGGAATTAATAGAAGACAATGAATTAAGGGAAATAAATAATTGAAGAGAAAATGACCTTTCAAATAAGTATCCCACCTAATTTTTAATTTTTGTGCCACCTTGTTATTTTCATCCCTGTTTCATTGAGTTTCTCCCTCCCTGAACTTTATTCCTTGCTCTTCGTCCTTAAAATAAAAGTTGCTTTGGTAAACCCACACAGTTAGAAAGTAGGCCGGTAGCAGCTGAGGGTTGGGGGTAGCATGAGGTGACTGCTCATGGGTTTGAGGTTTCCCTTTGGGGGCATAAAAATATTCTAAAATTGATTGTGGGGTGCCTGGGTTGCTCGGTTGATGAAGTGTCTGCCTTTGGCTCAGGGTGTGATCTCAGGGTCCTGGGATCTCAGAGTCCCACATCAGGCTCTGTGCTCAACCAGGAGCCTGCTTCTCCCTTTCCCTCTGCCACTCCCCCTACTCATGTTTTCTCTCTTTCATATGAATAAATAAAATCTCTAAAAAATAAAAAATAAAATAAAATGATCGTGAACATGCTAAAAACCACCGACATGCACACTTTCAGTGGTGATTTTTGTATGGTAAGTGAATGATCTCTTGTATATAAAGTTGTTATAAAACCTTATAAATAAAAGATGCTTCTTGGTATCTAGATACACTCCTCTGAACTGGCAGGAAAGGGTCAGACCTCAGTGGACCCTCCTATACCCCTTTCCTCTGGAGCAGCCAGGACAGTGTTCTGCACTTGCAGAAACTCAGGAATATCTATATTTTCCCACAGAGGCCTTTTAAAGATTTTTAAATTTTTATTTATTTGAGAGAGAGAGAGAATGTGTGAGCAAGCAGGGAGAGGGACAGAAGGAGAGGGAGAGAGAATCTAAAGCAGGCTTTGTGCTCAGTGTGGAGTCTGACATGGTACTCGATCTCACAACCCTGAGATCATGACCTGAGCTGAAATCAAGAGTCGGACACTCAACCAACCGAGCCACCCAGGCCTCCTGCACAGAGGGCTTTTGGCCACTTTGTCATGCACCGCCCCTAAATCTGGCACTCTAAGCGCAAGGCTGTCCCGAGTAAGACTTATTTAGGAGTAGACCTGGCTATTTATTTATTTATTTTTAAAGATTTTATTTACTCATGAAAGACAAGAGAGGGAGAGAGGCAGAGACACAGACAGAGAGAGAAGCAGGCTCCATGCAGGGAGCCCGACGTGGGACTCGATCCAGGGACCCCAGGATCCCACCCTGGGCCGAAGGCAGACACTCAACTGCTGAGCCACCCAGGCATCCCAGACCTGGCAATTTATTTTTATTTTTATTTTTTAAAAGATTTTATTTATTTATTCATGAGAGACACGGGGCGGGGGGCACTAGAGGCAGAGACACAGGCAAAGACACAGGCAGAAGGAGAAGCAGGCTCTATGCAGGGAGCCTGATGCGAGACTGGATCCCAGGACTCCAGGATCACGCCCCAGGACGAAGGCAGGCACCAAACCGCTGAGCCACCCAAGCATCCCCAAACTTGGAAATTTAAACAAGAGTCTCCGCTTTACAATATCTGACCAGACCCTCCCCACGGCATCTCACCTCAGTGTCATTGTCTTTCAGGGGCTGCGCCAGCATTTTATCATGCGAGGACCACAGGTCAGTGTCCTTGTGAGTCCTGTTGACTTGAGTCATCATTGCACCAGTTCAAAGTTACCTAAAAATGGAAATGCTCCCAGCATTAAATTTAGTTAGTTAAAGCTCATGGCAACCTGTTGGTTCACCCAGGTTGCTGAAGGACTGACATGTTTTATGGCCTTTTTCTTAGAGCTGCTGCGTAAACACGAAGACCTTCTATTGTAAAACCACCGTGTGGAAGGAACTTCTGGTTCCTTTCAGAACTGTAGACGTCCGCTTGTGATCCCATGAGTACAGAGAACTACCTGCCCTCCCCATGAGGGCGGCCCAGTCCTGAGAGAGCCAGGTACCCCTCTTCCCAATTAAACCTTTCCTGGCTCCAGGGTAGGCCCCCACCTAAACTAAGTGCCTTGCAGGCAAGAACTGAGTGTTACTTTTTTTTTTCAAATCCCACACAGAACCCCAACACAGCCATACGTATTTGCCAAATGGCTGAACAAACAAACTTCCATGTCACTCTTCCCATTTTTCACGAAAAGAAAAAGTATCTCAGCTCAGGGCTGCACAGCATGTTGGCCACAGAAGCCGCCCTCAAGAAACTCAAACACACATTCTGAGTGCCTCCGCAGACTTCCTCATGGCTGCGAGTTAAGGCACACGCTTTTGCTTAAATAGAAACCCTCCTGTAAAAACTGCAGGTCAGATTCGCACGTCTGTCTTTTTTTAATCAGAAAACAGCATCCTGTTAAAATACAGCTGAGCAGAAAATGCAAGATTCTTAACCCAGGTTTCCGCAGAGAACGAGAAGGTCTGGACAGCGGCATACCCACCAGTGTGAAAGTTTAAATATTGACAGGAACCAGCCACCTCTAAGCAATAGTTGGCAGCTTTCTAGTACTTTTCCGTTAACTTACTAAGCTTTCATTTCAGTTCACTCATTAGCCAGCTATTTACCGAGGGCCTTCCCCGGGGCAGCCACAGCATTGGGACTGTGCACACAGATGGCTCCCCTCATGGGGAAGCACAGCCCCAAGCAAACAGGTGCACTCAATGCAGCTAGACAAAATGAGGAAAGTGACATGTGGGACAAGAACGGGATGCTGGCATGGTCAGGGCTCACCGTGGACAGCTGGGTCAGGGGCCTAGTAGACGACATAAATCCAGAGGACAGCTAGATGGAGAAAGAGCCAAACAGGAGAGAGCCTATCTCCCAATGAGTACTGTGAAATAATAAGAAATATAGATTGGTCTCCGCTCCTAAAACCCTTGTGATTTCCTAGGGGAGAAGAGTGCCTTTTGTTCTACTTCGGTCACTCTGGGTGGACTCCTGGCTGGTCACCACAAAGACCAAGCCATGATCAGAAGCTTGGAATGTTCCATCTGACTCCTCATTCTCCAGAAAGGGGAGAGGTGCTAGAAATCGAATTAATAATTGAACAAGTGTAAGTAATCAAGTGGGCCTTGGGGAGCTTCCATGTTGGTGAATACATCCATGTACCCAGAGGGTGGTGCACCCCCACTCTAGGGGGACAGAAGCTGCTGCACGTAGGACCCTCCCACACCTCACCCTAAGTATCTCTTTATGGCTGTTTATCTGTATCCTTCCTCTTTCACTATATAACAAACTGATAAAGATAAGCAAATGTTTCTCTGAGTTCTATGGGCTCATAAGCAAATGATTGAGTCCAAGGAGACGGGTCATGGGAACCTCCAATTTGCACCCAAGTCATACAGAAGTTGTGGGTAACCTGGAGACCTATTACTTGCTGTTGGTGTACGAAATGGGAGGCAGTCTTGTGGGACTGAGCCCTTAATCTGGGGGGGGGGGGGGTCTGCGCTAACTTCAAGTAGTACCAGAATCTAATTGAACTGTAGGACCCCCAGCCAGTGTCACAGAATTGACATGTAGAAAACCCATGTTATCTGGTGTCAGAAGCATCACGAGTGTGGTAGCAATACGAGGAAAGGGGACACACAGCAACATGGGTCGTTTTTCCTATGCAAGCTCACAGGCACTCTCGTTTGCCAAACCAACGTACCCACTAAATAAAACAGCCCAGTAATCCCAAATCATAGTGATTCTCCTTAACCTCCAGTAGAGCTAGCAAGAAACCGTCAGTAATCTTTAACCAGGAAATTCCTAACTGGGGCTTTCAAAGCAGCCATTATTTTAACTCAAGCACTAGAAGATTAGTAATAACCCACGTCTGCAAGCAGTTTGACTTCAGTGTAATGCAGACTTCTGCAGCAACAGTGGGACTATCCTTGCCAAGGGCAGGCAGGCAGCCTCGGAGGTGGCGGGCCAGACCATGTTGCCGTTACAGGGGGAGAGAGAGACGGGAAATGGCTTGGGCACTATGCCATGGCTTCTTTGTGTTGATGATCCCCGTGCTCAAGAACGGCCGTTACAACCCAAGGCTCTCTGCATCAGCCAACACGCATGCCCTGGCAGGTGGTAAACCCACCAAAAGAAACAAAAAACAAAAAACAAAACCCTAAAAACACAAGAGCCGAAACAGGTGCTCAGGTCCTAGAATCTCGAGGAGCAAAGCTTCTTTTAAATACTGATTACTCAAAAAGGATTTGAGGGTGGCAAGCAACATCGAGAAGATATTGCTCAAATGCCACATAATTAAAGTCCATTTCAAGCCCTCCTCCTCCAAAGCAGGTCAGATCCACAATCATTCTGGGAAAGGTGCCCAGTTGCACCCTGCTCAGGACAAGGAACAAAGTCCCCACCTGCTTCTCTGCGCCCACTGGCTTCCCTTCAGCAAAACACCTGCTACTTTGTACCCTGGCTGCAAATTTTTTCCTTTCCTGAGATGCTAATTGAGTCAGTTACCTCTGACACCCCAGGGGAGAGCTGTACTGTGGCTGAGACCCTGCTAGGGCCTGCTGCTCTCACGACCCACCCACGCAGAAGAGTTTTCTACCCTGTGTCCTATAACCACTCAGGGTCAAGTCTTCTCCCCCCACATGGGGTACTTAATCCACACACACCCTTATTAAACCCATACCCTTCTTTTTTTTTTTTTTTTTAAAGATTCTATTTATTTATTCATGAGAGACACAGAGAGAGAGGCAGAGACACAGGCAGAGGGAGAAGCAGGCTCCATTCAGGGAGCCCAATGTGGGACTCGACCCCAGGACCCGGGGATCATGACCTTAAGCCGAAGGCAGACGCTCAACCACGAGCCACCCAGGCATCCCATAGCCTTCTCGAGTGCAGATGAAGCTTTTTGTTTTAACTGTGAAGAAGTTTCAATTCTTTAAACAGAGTTCAATATTCTTTGTCTTGCTTGAATTAAGTCAATTAGACCTACTACAGATATGATCTATTGTCTCTATTAAGTCAGTTAGATCTCTCACATCCCAGGGCAATCTGAATTACACTTAGAAAGACAAAGACGGGGGATCCCTGGGTGGCTCAGCCGTTAAGCGCCTGCCTTTGGCTCAGGGCGTGATCCTAGTCCCGCGTCAGGCTCCCGGCATGAAGCCTGCTTCTCCCTCCTCCTGTGTCTCTGACTCTCTCTCTCTCTCCCTCTCTCTCTCTCTCTCTAAGCAAATCTTAAAAAAAAAAGACAAAGACCTTGAATGTAAACAGCTAATTTATGTGTCAACTTGAACAGATTTACAGATAACCAAGTAGCTGATAAAACAAGAAAGAGATCTTGACACTGTGTACCTTTTAAGATGCAGAGGGAAGATCATTTTTAGCTAATATTATATTTAGGGAAGACCTACTTTACATCTTTTCTTGAGGTTTGGAATTTGGCTGAAAAATAACATGCCTTGAACTTTGTCCTCATTTTTTTTTTTGAACTGTGATAAAATATACATAAGATTTACCATTTCAATCATTTTTAAATTAAAAATAATCTTTATTAAAATTTTTTTTTTTCTATTTCACCCATTCCCCCCCTTCCTTCCCTCTAGGAACCACCAGTTTGTTCTGTATTTAGGAGTCTGGACTTTTTCTTTTCTTTGCTTGTTCATTTGTTTCTTAAATTCCACATATAAATGAAACCAATATGGTCTTTGTCATTCTCTGCCACTTTAACCATTTTTAGGTGCAATTCAGGAGCATGAAATACATACATACTATTGTGCAACCATTACCACCATCCGTCTCCAGAAGTTTCTCATCACCCCAAAATGCAATTCTGGGTACCCATTAAACACCTCCATTCCCTTCTTCCAGGCAGGCTGGTAGTTAACAACTAGACTTTACTTTCTATGAATTTGACTATTTCAGGTACCCCTGTAAATAAAATCACACACTTGCACTTTTGTGTCTGGCTTCTTTCATGTACTATAAGGTTTTCAGAGTTCATCCACATTGCAGGACTTGTCAGAATCTCCCTCCCTTTCAAGTCTGGGTAGTATTCCACTGTATGGAGACACCATGCAGTATTTTGTTTATCCATCCACCCATTACCGACACGTGGGTTGCTCCCACCTTTTGGCTACTGTAAGTGATGCTGCCACAAAGATGAACAAATACCTAGTTTTCAGTCCTCTGGGTGAAGACCCCAAGTGGAATTGCAGGATCATATAGTAATTCTACATTTAGTTCAAAACAAGCTTTTGATATTTAGGAGAGCTATACTCTACTACTATTATCAGCCTACAGTGAATTCATTCACTCCTGCAACAAGTATTTATTGAGGAGCTCCTATGTCCTACGCACTGAGCAAGGAACTTACTAGAATATATACGTCAAAAAAGACAGAGGCCTTGCTTTTACGGGGAGCAAACAAGTAAACAGGAAATACAGAAGGTAATGTCAGGTGGTGGTGATTGCTATGAGGACAATAAACGGGTGGAGGGCTTCTTTAGACCAGGCCATCGAAAGTACCTGGGCTGAAACCTTATCCTCCTAAGGTGCTCCTCACCTTATTGCCCTTAGTGCAAAGACCCTAAAATGGGAAGAAATTTGACTTGTCAAGAGTCAGAAATCAGGCCCACATGCCGGAAGGGAGAACAAAGCAGAGGCACAAGAAATGACACTGAAGGACCAAGGGTGAGAGCAGGGACGGAGAACAGATTCTTCACCTTGACAGGATGTATTTTACAAGGTTTCAAACTATGTTCTAGAAACCTTGGTCTTGAGTCACTTCTCAGTCTGCCTGTGAAATCTGAAGCTAACAACTAGAGAAACCCAACAGGGGAAGACCAGGGTTCCTTATGTAAAAGAGCAGATGGTGAACATCTCCCAAACTGGATCCCTCCAACTCTCTCATGTCCCAACAGTGAAGACCACACCCAAGGAAACTGTGCTAAAGCCAGCCTCTCTACTTCCTAATGTGCAGCTCAGCTACTGACACCTCTGTTTCTCAGTCCCCTCATATAAAACCCAGGAGCGAAGACCGTTCTGATCTGGCAGGGAGAGCCAAATGAGCTACCGGACATACACAGAGTGCTTGGAACAGTGCCAGGCATGGAGGAAGTACTCAAAAGCTATCATCTAGTACCGTTATTAAAGAAATGGAGGGACCTTTGGGCCATCTTTGTTACCACTCAGTAACCTGGGCTGAGCACCCCAGGAGCACACAGCTCACTGCAGCTATTATTATCATTATAATGCTGGATATTTTTTTAAATGTATTTATTTATTCATAAGAGACAGAGAGGCAGAGACATAGGCAGGAGAAGCAGGCTTCCTGTGGGGAGCCTGATGTAGGACTCGATCCCAGGACCCTGGAATGACCTGAGCCAAAGACAAGATGCTCAACCACTGAGCCACCCAGGTGCCTCTAATGCTGGATATTTCTGTGGGGGGGACATGTCACTCACGTGTGGCATGATCCTCACCTCAACCCCAGGGAAACAGACCTGAATTTACTTGCCAAGGTCATCAACCTCCCCATGGCCCCAAATCTTCCCCAGGACTTTGTCACACAAGCGTAACCAGCCAGAAGTCTCCGGAGGGAACGATTGAATGTCATCTGTCTGTCCCATACACAGATTTTTCATTATCTAGCTTACAGAGGAGGAACCCGAGGCTCAGGGAGCTAAGTGGTCTAAGGTCCCACAACAGAGTCAGAATCTGAAGTCCAGTTTACCTTTAGTTCCAAACCACATCCTCATGACACTGCACTAAATAAAAGCACAGGTTGCCCACCTCCAGTGCATGTTCCCTCAGGTAAGAAATTCAAAAAATGATTCCATAAGAACCTGAACTGGTGTTTCCAGTCCAGCAACTGCCTGATTAAAGACACATGTTGGTGCTGGCCCCAGCTGATCAAGGGTCACTTAACTTCTAGGACCTCGAAGGCCAGGGCGTGGAGCCAAGAACCCTACAGTGCAATGTTTGTCTCCCAGCACAGTGGGGGCGGGGGGGGGGGGAGCGGCGACAGAGGACAGACTGCAGACAACAGGCGCAGCTCCTCCCCGCAGGGCTCTGTTCACACTCCAAAAGTAGCGCGAGCCTGTAAGCAGTGGTTGACAGTGCAGGCTTGGGGAGCTTCCGTTTGATTCCGGGCTCTGCCATTTTGCCATCTACAGGGTCGCGCTCAAGTCGGCTCTTCTCTCCGAGCCTCACCTTCCCCATCTGTAAAATCGGCTACGCGACAGCGCTCCGCCTGTAGCTTTGCTCAGGGGATTCTCAGGTGAAGGGGTGTACTTAAATTTAAAATGCTCTACAAGGGACGCCTGGGTGGGCTCTGCCTTCTGGAGTCACAGAATCCTCCTGGAGTCACAGGATGGAGTCCCGCATCGAGCTCCCTGCAGGGGGCCTGCTTCTTTCTCTGGCTCTCGATCTGTGTCTCTCGTGAATAAATCAATAAAATCTTTAAAAAAAAAAATGCTCTACGAAACAAGCGCTCAGTGGAGAGCTACCTTACCAGCAGCAATCAGCCTTCGCGTCTGAGTCAAAGACCACCCTCACCCCCTAGCGCACCGGCCCGTGACCGGTGCATCCGGGCTCGCCGCCCTCCCTCTGCTCACCTTTTCCGGCCTCTCAGAGCCGCGGGGGAAGCGCGGCTGCCAGGCGCACACCACAAAGCGCCCCGAGAGCGTCGAGAGCGCCGGGGGCACCGAGGTCCTGGCACCCGAAGCAGCCCACCTACCGGCACAGGGTCCCGCACAGCCCAGCGACCCCGAGACCCGCCGACCACGCTGCTGCCGCCGCGAGCAGAATCCGAGACCCACCGACCCGCGTCCGGCCCTGTGCCCGCCACGTGACACCTGCCGCGCGAGTCGGGAACCCAGAACTTGGCGCGCAGCGGCTCTCGCGCTCCACTCCGTGCCCTCTGCGGGCTGCCGGGCCCCGCCCCCGGAGGCGCCCAATCAGAGGGCGCCCCGCCCCCCGAAGCGCGGGCCCTATTGGCTGCGGCGGAGCGGTAGGCGGGGCTGTCCCCTCCCCGCGCGGCGCGGGGTAAGGCTGCACAGTGCAGCTGCGGAGCTAGACCTTCGCTGCGGCGCCCGCGGGCTAGGCGCGGGGGTTCCGGGGTGTCCGCAGAGGGCCTGTCCCAGCGCGTTTGGAATTAGGGGTGAATCTTGTTGCTTATATTTGACATTTGCATTGTCCTTTTTACAGTTTAGCACGTGATCATAGGACAAACCTGGGTTCAAATTCGGATACTATTACTCTGTGTAGAGGCCTATCTATATGAGTTTCATATTTCTCAACTTTGTTTTTTTTTAAATTTTTTTTAATTTACTTATGATAGTCACAGAGAGGGGGGGGGGCAGAGGGAGAAGCAGGCTCCATGCACCGGGAGCCCGACGTGGGATTCGATCCCGGGTCTCCAGGATCGCGCCCCGGGCCAAAGGCAGGCGCCAAACCGCTGCGCCACCCAGGGATCCCCTATTTCTCAACTTTGAATAGTAGATACTTTTATCTGCCTGACAGGACTCTCGGGAGGACTAATAGACATAGCTGAGACACTTCACATCGCGTCTGACATGTTATAAGGACTCAACATATATTAGCCTTTGCTAAGAATCCTAAAAACCAGGGGTCTGCCCAGTGTACGAAAAGAGCTGACAAAGATTCTCTTAGGGACCAAACTCTACTCACGCTTGCCCAATTTTAGGAAGAATTCAGCTAAGTCATTTTAACCAGAACACCCCCCCCCCCAAATCCCCCATATCTGATTGGATTCCTTGTCCTCCACCATCCTTGGTGATGTCAGATCCCGCTGGCCTGGTCAGTTTAGCCAGAATCCCCTTACTCCTGGTGTTTGCTCTTACTAATTTTCCACCCACTGACCCTGGCTCCTTGGCTGTAGATTCCCAATCGCCCGTCCTATATTCAGAGTTCAGCTTCATCTCTCTCCCCACCCTGCAAGCGTCCATCCAGCAAATTTGGTTTCTGGTAAGGGCTCTCTTCCTGGCTTCTATATGGGTGCCTCTCACTCTGGCTTCTATATGGGTGCCTCTCACTATGCTCTCACATGGCCTTTCCTTGGTGTGTGTGTGCACAAGGGGAGAGATAGCAAGATCTCTGGTGTCTCTTCTTATAGGGACACTAATCCTACCAGATCAAGTCCCCACCTTTGTGCCTTCACTTAACCTTAATTACCTCCTAAAGACCCTATCTCCAAATACAGTCAAATTGAAGGGGTCGGCCTCCAACATAAGAATGAGGGGGATTACACAATTCATTCCATAGCAATCAGAATGGCTAAAAATTAAAAATAGTGCTAATGACAAATTCTGGAGAAGCTAAGAAACTGGATCTCCCATATATCACTGGTAGAGATGTAAAATGGTACAACCACTCTAGAAAACAGTTTGTCAGTGTCTTTTTTTTTTAAGATTTTATTTATTTATTCATGAGAGAGACACACAGAGAGAGGCAGAGACACAGGCAGAGGGAGAAGTGGGCTCCATGCAGGGAACCTGATGTGGGACTCGATCCGGGGTCCCCAGGATCACACCCTAGGCTGAAGGAGGCACTAAACTGCTGAGCCACCCAGGCTGCCCAGTTTGTCAGTGTCTTAACAAACTAAACATACACTTTCCATATTACCTAGCAATCATACTCCCAGGCATTTACCCAGAGAAATGAAAACTTTAGTCCGCATGAGCATTCAGAGCATATTTATTTGCAATACCCTCAAACTGGAAGCAACTCAAATGTCCTTCATTAGGTGAATGGTTAAACCAACTGTTACGTGAGATTTTTATTTTTCCATTCTCTGTTCACAGAAGTCAAGATTCTAAAACCAAGAGGCAGATCCAAAATGGTAAAACAACCTTGTCCTTCAGAGAGTGATATGATAACCTAAAAAGTAGCTCTTTAAAAAGATGAAGGGGGTCAGAAGGAAGGAGATAACCAAGAGAAGAGCCAAACAAAAGGGAAACACAAAAGTTGAGTCAAAATGGAACATTTCAGCTAACACAGGGGTCCTATCAGCCCCTGATTTTAAAGAAGAAGGAGATGATCAAGAAGGTAAAAAGAAGGTAAAAAGAAGGGCGGTGCCTGGGTGGCTCAGTCGGTTGCGTGTCTGACTCTTGGTTTCGCCTCAGGTCATCATCTCATGGGTGGTGATATTAAGCCCCGAGTTGAGCTCCATGCTGAACATGGAACCTACTTAAAAAAACAAACAAACTGGGATCCCTGGGTGGCTCAGCGGTTTAGCGCCTGCCTTTGGCCTGGGGCATGATCCTGGAGTCCCAGGATCCAGTCCCACATCAGGCCCTGCATGGAGTCTGCTTCTACCTCTGCCTGTGTCTCTGCCTCTCTCTCTCTCTCTCTCTCTGTGTGTGTGTGTGTGTGTGTTTCTCATGAATAAATACATAAAATCTTTAAAAAGCAAAAAAACTCTGAACACTAAACAACATGTAATCTACTGTAATGAAAATACTTTGGGCTCAAAGTACTAATTCACTGCCAGAAAGAGAATACAAAAGAGTAAAGAAGAGCTGGAGATCTTGAGAGAGATTCACAGGACTGATGTTCCAGGTTCTAAATTGAGGACTTTGTTGTTAATAGTATTATTCCTGGGTCACCTGGGTGGCTCCGTGGTTGAGCTGCCTTTGATTCAGGGTGTGACCCTGGGATCCAGGATCGAGTCCCACATCAGGCTCCTTGCATGGAGCCTGCTTGTCCCTCTGTCTATGTCTCTGCCCCACCCCCCTCTCTCCTTCTGTGTCTCTCATGAATAAATAAATAAAATCTTTAAAATATAGGATTATTCCTGTGTTATAATTATTGTAAAAATTTCCGGTAGGGTACACACTACGTACTGAGGCAGGCCATCATCCTATTAAAAGTTTTTTTTAACCAAGTTTAAGATGAAGCTATGTGTTTGAAAGTTATAAATTCAGAGGAAGATAGAGATTGTACATTATTTCACTTAGAAAAAATTAAAATTCTTTTGTTTTGAAGCTAGGTGTTCAGCTGGAATAGTTAATGTGCCCCCCCAGGGCAATTGTGCCTTTCCCTTGACATTCCTTTGTTGTGTAATTCTTTAGAATCCTAATACTTGTCTTCATTTTAATCCTGAGGGATTAAATGGTAGACTTGTAAGAAAAAAACCTGTACTGTCACCAAAACTTTTTTTTAAGATTTTATTTAAAAGACACAAAGAGAGGCAGAGATATAGGCAGAAGGAGAAGCAGGCTCCCTGTGGGGAACCCGATGTGGGATTCAATCCCAGGACCTTAGGATCACGACCTGAGCCAAAGGCAGAGGCTCAGGTGCCCCTGTCACCAATATTTTAAAATTAAAAATTTTAAATAAAAATATGGTTATGGTTTGCTTAAGTGGTTAAACAAACATCTATACCGTGGAATACCAGCCAGCAATAAAGAGTACTGAGTTGTTGATACACATAACGATTTGGATGGATCTCAAGGGCATCATGCTGCATGAAAAAAGGCACTCTCAAAGGGTATATACTGTATGATTCCATTTGTATGACATTCTTGGGGCTCCTGGTGGCTCAATTGATTAATCATTGGACTCTTGATTTCAACTCAGGTCATGGGCTCAGGGTCGTGAGATGGAACCCCATTTCGGGCTCCATGCTGGGTTTGGAGACTACTTGAGATTCTCTCTCCCTCTCCCTCTGTCCCTTACCTGCTGCTTGTGCTGTCTCTCACTCTCTGTCTTAAAATAAAAGTAAGCTATATAACATTCTTGAAATGACATAATTATAGAGATGGAGAACAAATTGCTCATTGACAGGGTAGGATAGGGGCATGAACTAGAAAGGGGTAACATGAGAGAGAGCTTCGTGGGAAAGTTTCATATTGTTTTGATTGTGATGGTAATTACATAAATCTATACATGGTATTGAACTATACACACATATTTTATCCATGTAAATTTCCTGATTTTTATATTGTACCACAGTTATGGAAGATGTGGCCATGTAAGAAACCGAGTGAAAGGTACATAGGCCCTCTTTATACTATCTTTGAAATTTCCTGTGAATTACAATTATTTTGAAATAAAAAGATATTTTAGGAAAAGTCTTAGAGATCAAAAAGATCCACAGGTAATTTAACTGTCATCCAGAATGAAGTCCAGCACCTTTAAAAAAAGACAACAAAGTCTAGTTACTCAACAAATAACATCCACAGTGACCTGTACCCAATCAAAAGTTGGTAGACATGCCGAGAAGCAGAAAAATGTGACCCATAACTAGGAGAAAACATCAATGAATAGAAACAGATACAGAAATGATAGAGGTGTTGAAACATGCACATAAGAACATCAAAACAGCTTTTGTAATCATGCTAAACCATTTACAGATATATATGAATATAGTGAGAAGGGAAATCAGTGAAATCAAAAGCTTTAGAAAAATCAACAAAATTGTGGCACCTGGGTGGCTCAATTGTTGAGCATCCCACTCTTGATTTCGGCTCAGGTCATGATGTCAGTGTCATTTGATCAAGCCCCACATCAGGCTCTGTGCTAGGTGGGGAGTCTGCCTCAGGATTCTCTTTCTCTCCCTCTGCCTTTCCCTTTCTCTTTCGAATAAATGAATAAATCTCTTTAAAAATTAGGGGCAAGGGGGATCCCTGGCCTGCCTTTGGCCCAGGGCGCGATCCTGGAGACCCGGGATCAAATCCCACGTCGGGCTCCTGGTGCACGGAGCCTGCTTCTCTCTCTGCCTCTCTCTCTCTCTCTCTCTCTCTCTCTCTGTGACTATCATAAATAAATAAAAATTAAAAAAAAATTAGGGGCAGGGCAGCCCGGGTGGCTCGGTGGTTTACTGCAGCCTTTGGCCTAGGCTGTGATCCTGGAGACCTGGGATTGACTCCCACGTTGG